CATATATGTGTGGAATCCACATAATTTGTTGCAACAGCAGTTAAGGGCTTCCCATAGTTGCATGATGAGCGAAACTGGCTAATACCTGCCTTTGAATAAGACTCTCTTCTATTACCGCAGCTACCGGGTGGGCATGTGTGGGGACGGGGCCAATGACTGCGGAGCCCTGAGAGCTGCTGATGTCGGGGTTTCCCTGTCTGAAGCTGAGGCTTCAGTCGCATCACCGTTCACTTCCAAAACTAACAACATCAGCTGTGTGCCGCTGCTAATCAGGTGAGCAAGAAGGAAAAGAGGGGAAATATGAAAGACATCTTTGAAAAACAACCAAACTATTAATGTTTGTGTTACAGCATCTGCAGTGGAAGAAACACTAACACATTTTTCTTCCTTGTCTGTGCAGAGAGGGCCGATGTTCCCTGGTCACCTCCTTCAGTCTCTTTAGATACATGGCCCTGTACAGCCTCATTCAGTTGTGCACTGTCCTCATCCTCCTCACAGTGAGTAGATATTTATACAATTTAAAATGTTTATTGTAGGATAAATATAACAAGGCTGTATCATGACAAGGATGACTTTTCCTGTCTTGGTCAGTTGCGGACAACAGCAGAATGACTTCAGTAAACATTAACCGTTTTTCTACATTAATGGAAACAATGTTGTTCCTGTGGTAGTGCACATGTTCAAAAGCCTCTGAGACTGTCACATATTCAGAATGCAATAAAGTACAAGTAGAAAACACAAACATGCTGTAAAAGCGGGGTGTGTGATAACTCGCTGTCAGAGAGAGAAAGTAGAATGGATAGAATCAATAATAAGGAAATGAATATTAAGACCATTTCAAATAATGAACATTTTCCAGGCCTTGATTTTGTGTATTTGTGCAGTTTAAGGCACACAATTGACTTCACATGTTGATCTTCTCATGAGATTAACACAAGAAAAATTCTGTGCATGATTACGATCTATATCGCATTCAGTACACTGCCTAAATAAATGTTGCATCAGTTCTCTCATGACTGCAGTTTCCTCCCTTGCCTTTATTGCTTATGAAACTTGCAATGAAATGTAACACGTTGATGTCTGTGTCCAGGTGAGGACGAACTTGGGTGACCTGCAGTTCCTGTACTTTGACCTTTTATTGGTGACTACGCTGGCCATCGTGATGGGGAAAGGAGGCCCCAGTAAGGAGCTGTACCCCTCCAGACCCTCAGCCAGCCTGCTGACCCTGCCTGTCGTAGGCAGCCTCTTCATCCACACCTGCATGATTGTTCTGGGCCAGCTGGCTGCACTCTTCATCACCACCTCACAGGAGTGGTCAGTAAAAAGACACAGCTGCAAATAGCTTTTATTTCAATTCAGAATATCCTGAAGAAACATGTGTTGCTACTTTCACTGAACAAAACCCAATATCAGATTTAGAAAAGGAACAGCATCCCATCTACACTTGAAGCACTTAGATCCATCGTAAAACTTCATTCCCTATATATTTTTTTAGGTACGTTCCACTCAATTCAACAGTGCATGGCACAGAAAATCTGCCCAACATGGAGGACACCAGCGTGTTTGCCTTGTCAGGCTACCAGTACATCATCATGGCTGTGGTGCTCACCAAGGGCTACCCTTACAAAAAACCTCTCTACTACAATGGTGAGTCATCAGAAATGTCAAAGGATGATGATTTGGGGTCTAAAGGTGATGCACACAGACCCACACTGACAAACTGGTTGGCTATTCATCCTTGTCAGCTTCATTTAAGTCTTACCCTGACCATACTGACTTGATCCTGTGCAGTTTGTCACTAGAGTTGTTTTCACATTCCTCTTCTGAAGGGAGCAATATCTGTGCACTTCCCTAAAATCTGACATTCAAACATACGCCTGGCTAGCCAGATTAGGTACATCACCAATACAAAGTCAACTGCTGTCTTATAGGGGAAACACAAATCAGTGGGGTAACAGATTTTGACTGAGCAACTGCAAAGAAACCTGAAACCTCCAGTGCAGAGCGGACTTGTCAGTACAGAGAGCAGCGTTAGTGTGTGTGGAGTGTGGAGCTTCCTTTCAATATCTACCCAAAACTTCACTGAAGCAGATTTCATTGTTTGTTGCACAACAATTAACACTGTCAGCCACTGCTGCTCAGCCTACAAGCAAATAAAAGATGCTAACTACTCTTATTATTATGATATGCCTGCTAGTCGCTGACTTTGGTGTTCCACAGACTCAAACATGTATGGCTAAATCTCTCCAAAGTTTCCTCCAGCGCCATCACTATCCATCTGTTCTTTCTCTGGTCACACTAGCGCTAGACTTGCACAGCCAGACAGACTTATCTCCATATTGTGTTTAGAGCTGTATCAGCACTGCAGAAAACAGAGAGCGAAAGCAAAACCTGCCGCAAGCAGTGGAGGTGGGCGGCTGAGAACAGATTCAGAATTTCTCAATGAGGGAGAAAGAGAAGATTTGCGTCTGGCTCCTTTTCAGAGTTTTTGTGTGTGAAAACCATGAAAAACAAAATATTATTCATAACAGAGTATTTTTATGTTCTTTAGAACATGTCTTTAATATTACAAGTGAAATATATTGAAATTTTAGGACCGTGAACTCAGAAGTGTTTCTTTTTTTCCTCTTCTCTTTCCAGTGATGTTCCTCTGTCTGCTGTTTGTCCTCTTCGGCCTGATGACTTGGCTGGTCTTGTATCCTGGGCCTGTCATTGGTAGAGTACTTCAGCTGTACAACTTCTCTGATATGGATTTCAAGTTGCTGCTCGTTGCTGTGGCTGCTCTCAACTTCCTCATCTGTTTTGTTGTGGAGGTGAGCGATGATATGAAAGTTCAATATTCCCACTTTGGGCCATGTAAATTTACATTTACATGAAAATAGCTGGCTCAATCATTAGCTCCAACACCATGGATATAACAGATTTTGTCTGGAGTGTAAGTTTAATGTTAAGCATCATGGAGAATACCAATATCAGTCTTTGAAGACCCCTTACAGGACGGGAAATTGCTTTAAAAAGTCTGTAATGTTCTCTGTCATGAAGAAGAAAGTGCTCAGCACTGTCTCAGGTTTTTTAGTCATAAATCTGTAATAAACATTATGTTGTGGTTAGGGGCCTATTCGAACTGAATGTTTAGAGCGTATAGGGGCTTAGAACATTATGACTGAGGCATATGTTGGCCATTCTCATACTTAATATTGTCTCATAAGTTGTTGCAGCAACTTCTGAGTTGATACCATTTGTTACAGAAATTAGGTGCTAAATTTAAGCATTTTTGACCACTTGAGAATTGCTAAAAATGTTCAAAAATTCCTTTCAAAATACCACATTAAGACACAAAGACCTTGAGGGACACCATAGAAAAATTCCATGCTACAATGTATCAGAAGCTTTGGACTTTTTTTGAGATTTCTGGAAGAAGAACATGAGCACTTCTGTTCAGGAGGCTGTTGAGAAACCCACCTATTGTCGATATACCTATAAAAGATGTACACCCTCTGAATGTATTTCTAGTTTAAACGTAATCTTGAGTGGAGCTCTGTGCAGTGTCACCTCCATCTCACGGTCATTGTCGTACTGATGAAGCATCTGTTCAGCTACGAACTGATCGGTAACATCCAATCACTTGTACACGCCTTACTGTTGACACACTGCTGAGTCCCTCATGCCAACACTGCTTTCTGCTGCAACCCCTTATACTTCCCCTACCTCCACTTACTGCTGAACTGACTTGTTATTGACTTGAAGGCACTCAGGTATGTTATCAGCCATCTCAGATCCTCCTGTACCATCATGTGTTAGTGGGGATTAGTTCTCCTAGCAGAATCCCTGTTCTTTGAGAGCTCCAACAAAAGCAGAGCGTTTTCTTTCCCAAATATAACTGTGTAACCAGCATACATGACACGGGGTGATAGTAGGCTCCATGCTAACACCATGTACACATAGCATGGGTGGGTCAGTGTCTGCTCTGTGCATCAGATCAATCATATTCAGAAAAAAATGTATCTAGAAAGGCTGTAATCTCAGCTTTAAATGCAAAAGGCGCATAATTTTGCTCTGGCTCACTTTCACAGCTTAGTGACACCTGTGCGTTTCCTGCTATGAGTCAAAATGTCTAATCTAAAGAGTCATTTTGTCCGTTTTCATCATTAAAAGATAAACGCCCCAAATGGACAGTCTCTTTATCGTGGTATATGCCTAAAAGACCTTCCTAACTGTACTGTTTTTTGTTTTTTTTTGTCCCAGGTGCTGATAGACCTGGGTATCCTGAACTGTCTTCGTTTGCTGTGGAAGAAGCGTCAGTCCAAGAAACAATATAAATGTCTGAACCTCCTTCTGTCTGAATCCCCATCATGGCCGCCCATCAATCAAACCCTGTACCCCACAGATCACACAGTCATCCAATTTAGCTAGCATCTGCTTGCCCCTCTGTTGGACAGTCAGTCACCTGAGCCAAAAATACTGTGGATGTCTGAGCTGTTTACGTATGTGTTAATAAAAACTATTTTTATGCTAACTTAAGTTTGGGTGTTTTAAAGATGTTTGTATTTTCAGTGTGAATTAATAGTGTGGTCCTGGGGGTGTTAGAGAAGCATATTGTATTGGTTGGTTGCATATTTTAGCCAGTTAGTTTAGCCAGATTACAAACTATTTACTCTTACATCTGACCATACATACATCTTAGGTTTGGATTTATCCAGGTTTTCAGATTTACACCTCCTCCCCAATACACCAGAGGTGAATGGAGTTTCATTTGCAATGCTCAAGGCTTTGAAAAATAACATTTAAAATGTTCAATAGCAACATGTTTTTCCAGTAATATTTGGCACTTGTTACTCTGAATTATCCACAGCTGTCAGTGGGATCAGTGTCAGTTGGAAGTATGTTAAACTGAATAATGTTCCTGTTGAGTTCAAACACACATTATCATCAGCTGCTTTGGACAAAATCACCAGCCTGCTAATTTAAAGTAGAGAAATGGACATGCATCACCAAAGACATTTCTTGCAAATCATTTTATTAAATCAGTATTTACAGGCAGTTTGTGTTCTCACTCAGAGCTCAGCTACACCCGTTTGTCTCCTGCTCTGCTGCTTTCTTTCCTGAACTAGAATCTCTTACCAGTATTGTGAATACTCCCTCGGATATATTCGGTTTCTTTAAGTACAGTAACAAAATCGACAACCAGGAAGCAAAGATGTGATACGGGAGGCACAAGCTGAATTTGACCATTACAAGAACGTTTCTATTGATGATGTGCACCACTGAATATGGCTTTATTGAGATCTCTTCTCTGTTTGGACAAATAAAGAACATCTATTGGGCACAATGGTTCTGGTCATACAACTAGTCACTACCTCTCTGGTTTACATACAGCTGTGTCTCCATTTTCTATTTCAGCAGAGGACCATCAGTCACTGAACAATCAGTGGGGTAATGTTACGTTTCTGATGTGATTAAGATGCTAACAATCGGACAAAAAAAAAAAAACCAAAAAGAAACCCTGGCATTCATTCATCTTGGGACGTGGACATCGTTCAGTTACATTTCACTGAATAGCACTGTTTCTAACAAAGTGCCAACCCAAGCTTTATTACGGACACTTGCTTTTTGAGCAATGGAACCCACTGGAAAAATACAATCTTAGTTCATTTCATTCATTCAGTCTCGTTCACTTGCACCTGAGTTCCTACGTACTGTACGTCAGTAAAGGACATGAAGAAACGAGCACGCTGCTGACGAGGTGGTTATATGATGGAGAGGTTTGTGAACTACGGCAGTAAATTCATTCCTCCCATCTGACCCTCCCTGGAGTTGTTGCCAACACCGCCTTCAAATAATGACATCTGAGTTAACTGATGTATATACAGGCTGATTTTAAAATGGGATTTTGGTTCGCTTCGATTAAAATACTGCTCTGACATCGCTGCCATCTCATACAAAAGGCAGAAAAGCTACTTAAAAACAGACTTGAATCCACAACCTTCTTTTCATATCTTTTTTTTTGCCTTTAAATAGAAATAATGATGTGACGGTCCAAGGAAGACAGCTGAAAAGCTCAATTAAAAAACAAAAGACAAACCTTAAACAGAACTTGTCAGATAAACAACTTGACACTCACGATCCTCAGTTTTTAAAAACAAATGGCAATTTTACATTGTAGGGGTGCACTGATAATGCTCACAGCTCAGTTACCAGACAAGTACCGGTTTGATACTCGGCTTTAATGGTGAGTTTACTGTGGGGCATCTGACACCACAACCTGCAGCCCACCACAAGCTGTCTGTGTTTAAACTTTACGCAGAAACCTAAACACGACGTAGAGACTATTTAACCATCAAACAAAGGTGAAAAATGTGAAAACTTCCTATTCCATAAAAACTGCAGATATTGTTAGGTTTATTTAAAAAAAAATCTCAGTATTAAATACTGTTTTAATGAACAGGTCCTTTGTGGTGTATGTATGATGTGAAGTATGATTATCAGCACTCTGCAGATACCAGAGCATCCCTAGTATAGATGATTAAAGACAAGCAAGAAAACAAAAGATAAAAATTTAGTGAGCAAACATCTGAAAATTAAAAACATGTATGTAAAAGGTGTGTAAGTGATGTCTGGTATTATTGCTGGGGAGAAGCTGCTGCCCGAGTACCAGCTCATCTCATTTTGCTAAGGGCCCATCACTGCGGCTCCTCTCACTTTAAGTCTTTGCTTCTGCCGGCATCTTGAGACGGAGCCACTGGGCACTGGAGGAGGAGAGATGGAGGTGAGGGCGTCTTTTAAAGGGATCATCACAGTGAGTCCAGAAGATGTCCATAATCACAGTGTCAAACAGACTTGAGTGGGGAGAGAAGAGAGCATATTTCTATTTGACTTCCACCTGCAGTTCCTCACTCCCTGACAGTTCCACGCAACTGCTAGTGGGAAGAGTGGGGCAGAGGTGCGGCTGTACTCACAGCCCATCTGATATACTGGAATTGAAGGAAGGAAGTTTTAAGAACACAGTACTGTCTTTGCTCTCTGGTGGCCCTTGATCTTTCTCCCCTCAATGGCTGGGTGGCCCCAGGGTCCACTTATCTGTGCTGTCGGAACCCTTGGGTGCCGTCTGGGCCGGCTGGCTGCCGGACAGTGTGATTGTTTGATCGGGTGTCCTCTGAAGGCAATGTAGAATTATTGCGCCCTGCCCTGGGAGAATAAGAGGCAATGGGAATAAATTAGCGACAGCAGCCTTTTGACATGTGCCAGCTGCTGCACATAAATGACTCACAACTTGTTTCTAGTGGGCAAGTTTCAGCAGCTTGTTTTCAATGGAAATCTTTCTCCTAAACTATCCTTACTACAGGATGCATGCATGACTTTAGTGTTCCCTTTTGGTTTTAGGGAGTTAGCTTGAAAATTATTATTATTATTTTTCTTATTGTTCATTCTTCTGTTTTGGTTTTTTTTTTATAGAAAATTTTGGCACAATTCACCACCATTAAAATCCCACTGAACACAAATGAAAAGAACTTCCTCTTATTCAGTCAATTAACTTATGTAGTGTAAAAAACAAGAGAGGAGCTCCACCTCCTGTCAAAGCAATGTGCTTGTCCAAGCTGTAGTTTATAAAACGAAAAAAAAAAAGTAATTTCAGGAGGTGAAGTCGCCAAGACTTCAGCTGGGAATAGTTTTGTTTTTTAGTGGCCACTGCCTTAGTTAATGTTCTGACAGTTAGCTTGTGTTGCTACTGTTAAATGTCTTCTTTAAGGCTTGACTTTCATTTTGTTATGTTTTGTCCCCCCATCTAATTCAGGACTGTACTCTAAAAGTAGTATAGACAAAGGATAAATAAAGTTGTGAATGAAAAACACTGTTTTGTAATCAGAGTAAAATATGGCACTGTGCTTTGATGATGAACACATTTCAATACTCAACAACCAAAGATGTTAATTACTAGAATTAAGGTGCATGGAGCAACCCTAAAATAATACCTACTCATTTACTGCATTTCTCTCTAATTTCTACTTTGCTCACAAAAAGTAAAATACCGTCTTCGGCACAATGTTGAACACTCAATTGCAAGTGCCCTTCAGAAAGGCCTTATCAGGCTGTAACTAAAACTGTTAAACTGTCAATATTTGTGTATTATTACCTGTCTGTGTTGGGTTTGTCCTGAGGCGTCTCCTCTGGGCAGGCGCTGCCCAGTATTCTCTTCCTGGCCTCGGCGTACTCTGCCTCACGCTGGGCCAGAGACTTGACCTGTGGCGTAGGCCTGTTCTGATTTAATTGTGATCCCAATGACCCGTTACTTGCAGGCCGCTTCAAAATGCGTATCTGAGGTGTGGGGGCTGCTGGTAGGGAGTCATCCTGTATCACCATGGTTGTCCTCAGTGGAGATCGTGAGGAAATATTGCTGGACTCTCTAGAAGCAGATCAGCAGGACACAGTCAACCCAAAATTAATGATACGACAGACAGGAAGGGGCCATGAAGTGAGGAAGGCAGCACTGATAAAAGCTTAGATGACACATTTATAGCAAAAAGACTTAAAAGAAATACAAATATATTTACTACTGATTCTTGTTTTCCCTACATTAAGTTACAAACTTAGTACAACTTGTCAAGACAATTTCTGAACTGTTTGGATCTGTGCTACAATAAAGCTCACTTAGAAAATAAATGAATGAAGAGTAACAGCATGAGTGGATCTAATTTGTGCATCCCTAGAAATAAACTGGCACTTGGTAAATCACCTGTACAGTGAGCTGCAGAGGGGCTCTTAATAATTATTAAAAAGGTTTAGGTTATGTCCAGGTATGTACTTTTACAAATAAGCAAGAGACATAGGGGAAAAAAAACATAGTCTGAATGTAAATTTAAGCAAACGTTTAAAAAGTCACAAATATGGACCACGTTTCTTCTCCTTCTAAGAGCTTACTTTTCTTTTTGGCTGATCCTTAGCTTCTCTTCTAACCGTTTTTCCATTTCCTGTGGAGAAAAAAATAATGCAAACATGTATTTGTGTAAACAAACAACATAGTCCCATTGATTTGGGGCAAAAATACAAGTGTGGCAGCTATTAAGCGAGTCGGAGAGTGGATGGACAGCAGGGTTCAGTTACAAGCTATTTATACATGTGTTAGACAGCTGACAAGTCATAACACAAAGTACTCAACTAGCTAACATTAGCCGGCTGATGTTGCCAGCGAAAACGGTTAATTTAAGGTTTGATGAGCTGAGTTTTACATCGACTACCCACATGAAGACATGTAAAGAAGCTGCTGGCGTTTTGACCAACTTCTCGGAGCCACGTTCTTGACGTCACGAGCTAGCAATAGTCTGCCAAACTACCGCGGCGGTGGCTAATTTTAGCTAAATGTTACCAACTTGCCAGTTTGGCAACACAACTAGCTCCTGCCCCGGCCAGTAGTTGACAACATGGCCGAAATTGGTGTCCCCTTGACGGCCTTGTCAACTACAGGAAATCACTAAGTTAGAAAGACAAGCTGGTATTATAGAATTAAAGGCAAGCTCTATTGTAGTAAAACGTGCTAAATAAACCACACTGTAATAGTGACCAAAATAAGTTCAACAATCGCTCTTGTAAAGTTACTTGCTCACTTTGACAGTAACATTTCGACAATTTGAACTGATCTAAACGCTGCTAGTCGTTTTCCACAGAGTAGGTCGGTTAACGTTAGTCATTATTTCGGGGAACAGCGTCAATCAATGTTTAATAAGAGTTATTAGCTTTACAAAATGTAACGTAACGTTATGCCGAATGGAATATGAGACGAGAGAGGGTCGAGGAAGTGTCTTCAGTCTTGTGCGAGCTGTGTACATTTGCTAACATGCAGCCTTAACTATCATTCAATTAACACATTTTCCATGTTAGCCATGCAATAAACAGCTAGCTTAGCATTAGCTAACCACAGCCTAAGCATTTCACCAGGAACTCTAATTTCGTGAGTTTAGCCCGCGTCATATCACTGTATTCGCTAGCCAGCCACCGCTAGTTAATAATAAGACACACTGACGTTATTTTATGAGAAATTTGTTAGAAATAGCAACGTCACTGGGCTAGTTAGTTGGCTAAGTCCATGTTAAGCCTGTCTCGCTCGCTAGCTAGCTACTTGACGTTAGCTCGCCAAGTTTCTCAAAGCTAACGCTAGCTTAGCCACATTGTTGGCCCGTGGGAGTCGCTAACGTAGAACAACGTTATGGGAACTTCTAGAAGCAACCTTGTAAATATGAAGAATCTACCCAAAAAGATAATCGTCTTAAGCATAAGAAGGTACATTTGGACTTAAATTATTTACCCCACTATCAGCAGCTTCCTCCCAACTTTCAGCGACCTCCTCATCCATGTTTCATTTTGCTCAGACACGCTGTGGAGTTGGACGTCCTGGGCTCCTTCAGACCCGCCTCTCGACTGTCCACAGGCTTTGACATCACACTGACGGATTTCCCCACCGCATGATAACCCCTCACACAGCTGATCAGAAACGGGCCAAAAGTGGCTAACTACATTTCAGTACAGCCATAGTAAACAAAGACCAAACCTAAGTGTTCTGCTGTGTCTGAACAGGCGCAGGTATGTGAACTGTGTTTCACCCAATAACTGTTCTTTGCTGCTCCCTCCCTAAATGTGAAAGTGAATATGGTGATTGCAACAGAACAGAGCATGAAACATTAAAATTTTAACAATTATGTCATCTATCAATTGAGATTATCTGGAAATATTTTGTTAGAAGTAAATGGTAGTGTAATTGCATGTCTGCTTAACTTGTATGTAACTCACATTGCAGAGACTCTGGTGTGATAGATCTCACATGATGAGTGCTCATGAGTAACAGTAACAGTAATTCACTGCAGCATGAATACACTCACTCCATTACTGCTAAGACCTTTTATCATATAACATTCTGATATAATGACAAATAAAGATTAATAGAAAATTTTAAAAAAAAATTAAACTTGATTAAATGATTTCATTTTGATATTAGTAACCCTGAACCTTTTATGCAGGTTAAGTTTTGTTAAAAACATTAGAATAGCAGTGCTCTGGAGGGAAAATGATTTGTTAAACTGTGCTGTTGGCACAGTTTAAATAGTTGTTGAAGGACGGTTGCCCTGTCCTCTGGTTTCTCAGCCAAACCTATGTAAATGTGAATATTTTTTTACATGCCATAGGGTGAACTCTGAATTTTGGATTTTTGATAGATTGCCAATAAGACCACCGAAAACTCTTAAGACTATCTAAAATGTTACCTTTACACTTGTTTTGTAGTGCTATGAAAAATATATGTTGCCAAATAGATTATCTAAGAAACTTTGGACCTTCAAACACATCAAGAACCCCTACCTTACTTACATGACATGTTCAGGTAAAATGAAACATGTTTGTGTGTTCTTTAAACGGTTAAATCCAGTCATCAGTTCAGTCATTAATTCATTAAATTGTTAATTTAACCTTACTTTTCATTAAAAATATCGTCTAACTTCTCTGCCATGCTTTCCTTGTTCTTTTGCTGCCTAATTCCTTAGTGCCATATTGTCTACAATGGACATGTGAGTGTGCTTGCGTGTGTGTAACACTGTTGGCTTATTCTCGACTATTGCAGCTGACATGGACTCATTGCATCATCTTTAATATTTTTTAAGTGACAAAAATACTAAATATGTCTGTGATATGACAGGGTGCCACACAGTAGCATATGATTTTATGGCACCTGGTAGGCTAAAAACCTGCTGGATTCACTTGTCACATTTTAGCTTACCTGGCATGTTCTGTTCTTGTCACCAAGAAAACATTGTCTTATTAAGCACTCCCTCAGTTTTTAGAGCTGCTGTATGACTGTTTCTATTTGGACACATGAGGGCAGTGTGGGTTTGTTGGACCACTGCTGATGTTACAGTCAGATTTAGTTCAAATACAACAGTGGGAGTTCTTGGTTGTTTGTCATCAGAGCATAAAAACAAGAAAATTTAAATTTTGATAGCACATCATTTGTAATACATATACAGTATAATACAGGCTGTGCGTGTGTGTGTGTGTGTGTGTGTGTGTGTGTGTGTGGGTGTGTGTGTGTGTGTGTGTGTGTATGTAAGTGGTAAATGGACTTGCATTTCTATAGCACCTTTTCTAGACTTCAGACCACTCAAAGTGCTTTACACTACATGCCACAATGGCATGTCACCCATTCACACACACACACACACACACACTGGAGGCCGAGGTTTCCATACAAGGTGCCACCTGCTCATCATCATCACCATTCACAGGCACTCACACACATTTGGAGTGCAGTATCTTGCCCAAGAATGCTTTGATGTGTGGACTGGAACATCGAAATGCTTATTTTCCGATCAGTGGATAACTCACTCTACCTGCTGAGCTACAGCCACTGTGTGTGTGTGTGTGTGTGTGTGTGTGTGTGTGTGTGTGTGAGAGAGAGAGAGAGAGAGAGAGAGAGAGAGAGATTTTAATTTCAGCACAGACATTTGTCTTTCTCAGTGGTGAAATGAATCTGTTCTTAATAATCTGATGAAATAAGCAGACCCTCTGTTACATCTATAAATTTCTTAACACCTCGGTGGTTGATTGTAAGAATGTATTATAAATGATAATAGGAATGGTTGATAGCAGCAAAGTGCATATGTTGTAAGTATTGGACTTTGCACATTGGCTAACTGCACTTGTAGGACTGAAATGTTTTATCACCACCGGAATTACATTTGCTTCCTCAATATCAAAATCATTTCCCCCAGATAAGAGAGGCTTTTTTATTTTCTAAATTAAATGCTGTAGTAGTGATTTGGAGCAGATATGGTGGAGCTGATCTGACAAATTAGAAATGAACTCAATAAACCACCTGACATGCATGTCAACTTTTCTTATGTGCCACACTGTCTTATTGTAGCCCAATATGTTTCTGCTTTATGGTAGTAGTGTCTGGTATATACATATACTGTATGATATGTATAAAAATAAATGTTTATATGATCAACCAATTGCACTGACCTGCAGTAGAAGGACAGTAACAGAAAGACGGGATTTGGCACTAAAAGATTATAACTTTGGAAGATATCCACTTAATTTGTTAAACTCAGACTTTTATCTCGTTTTGTCTTCAGATAAACCTTGAAATGTATTTTTTGGGAAAACTGAGGATCCCATAACCTGTTTCAGACTTGAAAAACTGTGAACCCCAGGACTGTAACTCCATCCATCCATCCATTCATTATCTGTAACTGCTTATCCTATTCAGGGTCGTAGGGTTATCCTATTCATGGAGCCTATCCCAGCTGACGTGGAGTGAGAGGCGGGGTTTCCCATGGACAGGTGAACAGACAACCATTCACACTCATGTTAACATCTATGGGCAATTTAGAGTCAACAATTAACCTACCCTGCATGTCTTTGGACTGGGAGGGAGCAGGAGAACCCTCTTGCTGTGAGGCAACAGTGCTAACCACTGCACCACCATGCACCGTGCACCACGCCTTTGCCCATTAAAGAAATGTGTCCAGTTGCTGATGTAGAGATTTCTGCAACAGCTTCACTGCATTGAAGGTGCATGGAGAAGGGAAATTGTCTTGTGGTTCAAATGGAACATATTAATAATCTTACTCAGTGTTTTTTGTAACATGTTGTATGATGACCCTGATGAAGGCCACAAGCCATATAACAACAAAAAGCAATGGAGAATTTGTTTCTTTGCATTTTTTTATTTCCTTGCAGCAAAAATAACAAAAATGACAATCCATATCACATATTACAAGCATTATAACAGTATACTACCAACATATAGACATTTGTTGACATGGAATTAGTAGTATTACCAGTAATAGTTTCTACATATTTAGACCATGACAGTACTTTGAAAACATCTATGAAATGGTAAAAATCATACTGATATCATTTTCTTTTTCATCAAATATATGATGTAATAACATTAAACATTAACAACAATGAATAGTCATCCTTTTTTATATGTCATAAAAATTAGAACTTTATTATTTTACCATTTAGCATTTTAGCCTCTTTTTTTTTGCAGCAAATCGTTAATTACATTAGCTTAGCTTTACTACCCGCACCATTAATGGATAAATGAAACATTTGGTAGAGCACGTTTTTAAACAAATGTTCAGTACAATCTCTGAAACTATGACATGTTGAAAAACTATGCCTATCTTGGAAAATCCTTCACCACAGAGCCGTCATATTGGAGTGCAAAATGTTCCCTACCAAACAGTTGAGCAGAACGTCAAAGTTTGGGTTTCTCTTGGTTGTGCTATTGTTTTTTGTTCAGCTGCAGGGGTTGTAGTTGCTCATACTGACCACCCAGTTCTTCGAAGCTGTTAAAATGCATCATCTCCTGTGCAGAAGATGATATTCTACTTGAAAAGTCATTACAGACACTGTGTGTTCAATACAGCACATGTAGGTTTCATGTAGTGCCTTTTGGTCTGATCATACGTCTGTTAAATAAACTACTAACTAGAATGAGTTTTACATGTTGTTGTTTGGAGATTAACAAAATGAAAAAGACTTTTGATGCTCAACCAGCTGCAGCATTGACCCCTGCAGCTGAGAGCCCTCCAGTTAAAAAGAAAATCATGCCAGTGATCCTGAAGCCAGTGACAGCAGCGTGGTGATGCAGGCTTTAACATCATGCAAGTCTTTGTGAAGAAAAGCAACAGAGAGACTTCTCTTCTGATGACTTAAATACTGAAACAGAAACTAAGCACATAGGCTGAGGCAGGACAGAGATAATGCGTACGACACAGTGATTTTTATTTACAAAACTTTTTAAAGTTGTTCATTATCCAGAATCTTAAAGCTCCTCTCTCTCCTGACAGGGCTAAAACATCAGCACCTATGGACATAGTATCCTGTCACGTATCCTATCATGTAAACAGTCACCAGTGCAGCCAAAGCTCCCGCCGCCTTCAGAGCTACTCCAGTGGTGCCGATACACAGTCTGTTGTACAGCCTGTGAATGTAACAGAGAGGGAGGCAGTCAGATCAAACAGCATTTGGTTAACAGGAAACACTGTTTTATGACCAGGTTTAACCACAATGTCACTTTATTTTTTATTATTAAGGCTTCACAAAGCTTAACAGCTACTGTAGAATTCAACTGGTGTCACATTTTAAAAGCTAACTTTATATTTTATGATTTGAGACTCACCTTTCTTTAACCCCATCAAACACATACACAAGTGTACAGCATCAGAAAATTCTCAACAGTATGAAAACTTTACATTTGATCTTTGCGTCTTTATGTCCAGCACCATTATTGAGTCTCACCTCATGGCAGTCGACTGTGATGCCTCTACGTTCATGTTAATGTTGTCCTCGTTCCAGCGATCATATTGTACGCCACCGGCTGTGTTGGAGTCCATGTGGGAGGTTCTTTCTCCGCTCAGAGGTTTATCTTCTGCCGGTAATCACTGTTCACTCACTGCTTAGCCTGGACACATAAACTTGACTACAGTAAACACTGACAAATGTTGACTTGAACATGGTTTTATGGTATTACATATAAAATATGACATTTAAACTTAGTTAAGGTGCATATAAATCATGTTAGTCACCTTTTAATCAGCCCCAGAGCTAAATCAGACCACATGACTGAAATAATCAGACTCATAAGCATTGATTTGATAACTGTCGCCCAAAGCAGAGCTCACTTTATATCTCCACATTCAAATAAATGTAATCTGTGCTCACCTGCATGAGTCTGAAACACTTCACCCGTCTAAAGAGCTCTGTTTTCCAGCACTTTTAAAGCCATGACTGAGAGAGCTGTGCTTCGTGATTGGCTTCAGACCATGGTCATAGTTCATGTGTTCACTGAGTTCAGCCTGTCATAAATCCACTGTTCATACTCTGGCTTCCTTTATACGACTCTTTCTCAGTGATAAAGCATCAATTAAGTTCTGTGTGGTTAGTTAGTGTCCGGTTTCTACACATCCTGTGTGCAGATAGTGGACTGCCAAGTAAAATACTTTTTTTTAGTTGAACATAATATTCATATGTTGTTTCAAACATTTTCTTTTTGGCTCTGTTGCAGATGATAAACATGTTGCGCCTCTTTTTGTATCATCACCCTATTCAGTTTGGAAATCAATTCAATCAATCAATTTTATTTATAAAGCCCAATATCACAAATAACAATTTGCCTCAGACGGCTTTACAGCATAAGACATCCCTCTGTCCTTTGGACCCTCACAGCGGATAAGGAAAACTCCCCTCCTCCAGGACGGACAGACGTGCAATAGATGTCATACAGAACAGATCAACATAATAAATTAACAATAATCCGTATGACACAGTGAGACAGAGAGAGAGAGAGAGAGATGCAGGACAGACAGTAATGACAGTAGCTTACAATAACTTTAATTTAAGTAATAATATTACAATAATAATTACAACTATTGTGGTACAATATGCTGTAGATATATATTAATATAGTATATATATGTGACAATAATCACATGTGTATAATGACAGTAGAAGTATGACTAATGATAACAGCAGCAGCAGGAGGCATCTGGCAGGACCACGGCAGCAGCACAATCACACACGTCACACTATCCAGGCACTGCTGTGATAGAAGTTAACCTGAGAGACAGTGGAGCACAAAGGCTCCGGAGAAGAAGCAGAGTTAGGGACATGCAGTAGAGCCGAGTTAGCAAGATGCAGTAACAGGATATGAGTGTTAGCAAAGGAGAGAGAGAGAGAGAGAGAGAGAGAGAGAGAGAGAGAGAGAGAGAGAGAAGGAGAGAAGGTGCTAGTCTTAAATGTGGAGATGGTGTCTGCCTCCCGGACCGTAACAGGAAGATGATTCCACAGGAGAGGAGCCTGATAGCTGAAGGCTCTGGCTCCTGATCTACTTTTGGAGACTTTAGGGACCACGAGTAACCCTGCGTTCTCAGAACCCAGTGTTCTAGTGGGATAATATGGCACTATGAGCTCTCTAAAATATAAAGGAGCCTGACCATTTAAAGCTTTGTAAGTTAGCAGTAGTCATCCACTCACTCATTTGGTAATGTTTAAATAGGGTGATGAGATACTGATCTTAAAATGTCACATAAATAAATGCCCCCTTTAAACGGGAACACAATTGAAATCTTTGGGGATTTGTGTATGATAAGAAAGATTGCATTTGCACATTTATAGGATGAACTTTTATTTTGGTTTCACTTGAATTTAGCCACCATGAGACAACCACTTCTGTTATCATAATTTACTGTAACAGTGTATCTAAGATGAGTTTTGAGAAGTGACCAGTGACAAAATTTAGGCAGATGTGATGGGCTTCAAAATGTGCTGTGATCTGTAAAAATCTGAATTTCCGCCTTGCAGTTGCAGTTACAGTTTACATACATATCTGAAAACATGGATGCTCTCAGGCAGCACAGAAGATCTTTACAGCACAGTTTCAAGGTGGGCACCCAAGATTAGCATCACCAATTCAGTATCTGACCAGGGTTTTTGCAAAACATTACAATGTCACAGTGAAGATGCCCTTTGACCTTTTGGATATAAAATGTTGTCATTGCATCATTTTATCCCATTAGGTGTTTGTGTGAAATGTTGTGATAATTAGCATATAAATTCCTTCCACAGTGACCTTTGACCACCAGTTCTTCTCAGTTCATCTTTGAGTCCAAATAGATTTTTGTGCCACATTTGAAGAAATTCTCTTATGGTGTTTTTGAGATACTTAGTTTACAAGAACATGGCAGTTGAGGTCACAGTGACCTTGACCTTTGACTTCCAAATTCTAATCAGTTCATCTTTGTCTCATAGTGGATGTTTGTGCGAAATGTGAAGATATTCCCTCATGGTGTTCTGAAGATATGGCATTCACGAGAATGAGACTGATGCAAGGTCACAGTGACCTTGACCTTTGACCACCAAAATCTATTCATCATTCATGCATTCATCATCATTCATCATCATTAAGCCCAAGTGAACGTTTGTGCCATTTGAAGAAATTCCCTCAAGGTGTTCTTGAAATACCATGTTCACAGGAATGAGACAGATGCAATGTCACATTGACCTTTGACCACCAAAATCTCATCAGTTCTTCCTTGATTTAAAGTGGATGTTTGTGCCAAATCTGAATACATTCCCTTAAGGTGATTTGAGATGTAGTATTCACGAGAATGGGACGTGATACTTATGGATGGACAGACAGACAGATGTATATACATATAGACAGACAGATTGACAACCTGAAAACACAACGCTTTTGGTCACGGCTCTTGCTGGCACAGGGGCATCAAAGGATTTTGTGATAACATCTGGCATGGTGTGCTGGCAAAAAGCAGAGGTATCAAATATGCTGGTGATACTAATATCGTGGGTGACAGGGTTTTTTTGTGCTCCTGTGCTGCCTGTGATGTTTGGAGATGCTACAGAGCATTCAGACCAACATCTGTTTGTGACATAACAGCAGCCTTGGTAGCTCACAGTGTGACGATTCATCAGGTCTCTAGATATAAAAGTCATTAAAAGATTCTTCCACTAAAACAATTCAAGTAAGGTATGCATCTGCTCTCATGGAGGTCCTCAATCACCTCCAGGTTTTACTCTTCTTTTCCTCATTGAACTCCCAAACTGTGACTCTCCCTGACATGTTTTGTTGCACCCTGCTGCTCTGCTGCACCCTCAGGTGGCGGATGACTGCTACAACATCCTCATGGAGTATGGCTTCTTCAAAAATTGTAAAAGGGACAGTGACCCTCCTTAAATTTAGAAGGCCCTGTAGCGTGAGGACATTTGCTGTTGAATCTGGAAGTCCATCAATTAAGAAATGGATGTTAACTATAAGAGAGATTTAGAAATGAAGAATCCGAGCACAGAAGATGATGGATTAAGTGGACGAGCTATGAGGCCATTAATGAATCAAATGAATTAAATAATGAATTTTATGAATAAGACAGACATGATCATTGTATTGTGAACGGTTTGTGGAGAAGTAGATTCACATTCACACAGGAACACACACACACACACCATTTTTACGCTCATGATTGTAAGCATACAGAGGTGCAGATAAGATAAGAATGTATGCATGCATGTAGCTGGACAAAGATGAAAACAGTTTGTTTCACTGGGTGTATATATGTTATGTATGGAGAAAAAAAAGAAGAAATTGCAATAAATATGTAAATATGGAATGGAATGTAGTTGTAAAATGCAACATGAATTTATTGCAATAAAAGTATCAAAAAAATAAAATAAATAATTGTAAAAGGGACAGTGACCCTCCTTAAATTTAAAAGGCCCTGTAGCATGAGGACATTTGCTGTTGATGGGTTAATCAGTGCATCATTGTATCTTTTCAGCCCTAAAGGCAGCTTCATTACACTCTTATGTTGTAGGACCAGTTACACACTTTGTGATCAATTGATATCACCTGAAATATTTCAGATATTAAAATAGATACTGTGTGTTCCTTAGTGGTACATTATACCAAACAAATACCAAACCAAACCAAATCTACACTACGAAAACAGTTTAACATGAACTAAAACTGTAAAAAAGAACAATCCCACTGATGTAAGCAGTTCTCAAAATTGTTTTTATTTATATTAACCATTTATATGTATCCACAGCAGCATTCTTAACGATCCCCACTTTATATACGCAGTCTATTACAAAGGAGAGGAGGGGCAAGACTGGACAACTCACGCAAAACTGAAATAATGAAATGAAAAAGTTTCAGGGGGAGGAGGGTATTTAACAAGGGTAGGGGTTACAGCCTGTATGAACATGCAGTCATGCACATTTCAGTTTATACTGAAGCCTTTGACAATTGCATCCACAGGATCGAATATCTAAACAAATACAAAAACATATTAAGAATACGCTACAGAAACAGAAGCCAAATGAAATTTATAAAGCGACAAAAGACAGAAGCGTGTGCCCTCCATGTTAACAAAAAAAACAAAAAAGTAGCAGGTCAGCACCCGTCTCACATTGATTTTCTTTTCATCGATTGCTACAATTCCAATCCCAAGTTACAGAATACCTGCCACAAACAAAACAACCCAGGCAATACCTCAAATAAACAAAGAAATGTACACACATTACAACAATCTTCACTCAAACTCCCCAAATTGACCCTAAAAATCCACTGTAGCTTTAGCCAGGGATTAACAGGTCTGGTCAAGGTTAGCAGAGGTTTTTAGCTTGAGACCAGGCCATAAGGTGCGTTGTTGTGTGGAAGCCTGGCAGGCACCCCGCTGAACTCTGTTAGGTGGTTGAGGATGAAGTCCTGCAGCAACGGTTCATAATGAGCTGCTAACAGAAGCTCAGAGGTTACCGAAGTGCGTTGGCTTCTGTGTGTGTCCCTATATACACTGAATGGGTAACTACTTATACAGCTTGTTAAGTGTTTATCAATGGGTAAGTATATTAATGTGAGTATATCAATCTGTGTCAGGTTAGTACACATCTATGTGCATCTGAAGGTCTTTCACAAGTGAGTGCAGTCGAATCCTCAAAGACCACCTCCAGATCTTACAGCACTGCACCGTTATTTTGACACAGATTCAGGTGCCTGTGTTATTAATGAGCACCGATTTGTCTTAAGCTGAAGAGTAGCTTCCACTTCCCTCAATCAGCTGGCTCTGATCTGGATTTCCTTCAGTCCACTCCATGACTAGTCCACCTCCTCCATGTTGCTGTAGGATGGTGCTGCACACTCTCCTGAGTGGGCAAAGAGGTCAGAGGGAACCTCTGGGGTCAACGTAGGTGGTCCTTCAGGATCCAGGTCCGTCCCAAATAGTGACTGGCTAGAGGCCTGTAAAATAAACCAGCGTTAAATTACCAATTCAATTTTGCTGATTTAGTCATCTGGGAGAGTTTTATCTGTTTGTAGAGAATAAGGAGTAGTGTGACTTGCATAAAAACATGCATCAAGACTATGAACTGATGGAGGGTTTATTTCCAAAAGGAGTACAATGCTTTATATATTAGAAAGCAGCATTTATAGATGGAGGTATCTAGATACATTATTGCAGGGGAATTAAAATAGGTTACATGATTTTCTTTTAAACAGAGTACTTGCAATATCACCAACTCAGTGATTCGAATTATATTACAGAGAGTGACCTTCAGTCATTTCTGGACGATATACAAGTCATGATTATCATTTCAATTTAGATTTCATAGCAGAGCAGAGTACACATACAAAGTTTCATCCTTCAGTCCGCTCCATTTAACAAAAACATTTAAAAACAGCGTAGCTTGTGCTGAAAACCCCTTTGAGTTGAACATTCTTTCCAGATATGATTTTGACATCCGTTAATCCCATTACTGCTGTTTTATTTCGGGTACCGGGAGATATCACACAGTTCAGAAAGTAGTGTATGTTGTGCACAAGCTATACCTCAGAAAGAATTTTAAGTCTAGACGGACTTCAGCCTTGCATATATCTGAGTCAAATATACACAGTCTGACGGTGCTCTGAGCTTTGCCGAGCATTTAAGGCAAACATAGGTCACTCTACACTGCCTTAATACCAGAGGGATTTCCCTGAGACCCACACACAGACAATCACTGCAGCAGCACAGTAAAGGAATGATCTACGGACAGCTTGGACTCCAACAAAGTGATACTTTGAATGTAAAGGTTTTTAACAGTTTTAAACATCATGACACAATAAAATCATACACAACTTACAGGCTGTTGTGTGCAATTATCTTTTGGGATTTTTTTTTTTTAAATTATACACAAATTGAGTATTAGAATGTAAATGTAAAATTTAGTATTTCAGAGTCTCAAAACTGTCCATAATCAATAGCTTTCCCCTCAAAACAGAGCAACACATTAAAACACATTACATTCAGAGGTGGACGGTCATCTTATTTTGAAGAACTTTAAAAGACACAGAGCAACACATTGTTTACTACATTTCATCCTGAGAATTAAAAATCCTCACCTGGCTATGGCTTCAAAATATGTTACAGAAACAGCAACTACAACAGACTTTGACTGGCATTTCGAAAACAACAACAAAAAAAGAAACGTGGGAAATAAAATAAATGTAATTACAATCAACTGCAGTACACATTGCTGAAAGAGACCTTTTAAAAACATGATGGTTGCTGGAGGCAAAACAGTTATTTTAAGGCCCATAAATCAATTTGTGTTCAATTTAAGGACATACAAAAGGCAACAGCAATTGGACACACAAGAAAATAGAGGGTTCTCTTTACTTCATGATGTAACATTTAAAACAAGTCACTGTTGAAGTGCCTCTTTATATATACTCCATTCATCTTTCTGACATTCATATTGCAGGAATTCTCAGTCTCATTCTCCTAAGAGTGTAGTGCAATAAAAACAAAAGGCGGCCTTAGACAGGGGCTTCACCTGACATTTCTCAGTTTACAAGAACTTGATACATGGCTGCACAACTACGTAGTTTCTCCTAAAAAATAATCTGAACTAAAGGTCCATTTACTAACTATTTCCGGAGCTCTAAACCTGAATTCACAGCCCTCCAGGTCCTTGAGTGATGTTTTTTTTTCTGTCAGGCTACTTTTTCCAAGGTGAAGAATGAATATAGCTCCATGAATAAATATTAGTCGGTGATTAAGGCTGTTAGAGCTCATCATGAGAACTATTTTCAAAAATGTGACACTAAAAAAACCGCAGAGTTGTTGAAAAGCAGCATACATACACTGGAAGCAAGAATCAATACAATGCATAGAGGTAATGTAGTTAATAGTTTACACTCGATGTTCTGTTACAGTGTGCTGTTGGTATCGCTCTGCCTCAGCTTAAACTACAAGGTTTTCTTATGATGACTGGGGCACTGCTGACACCTTAGTGTCATTTTAATGTATCAAGCAGTGGTCCATGTATTTTAAAAGGTTAGGCCATTTAAAGCTATACATACTCTTAAGCCCTGTTTCCACCAAGCAGTATGGGTCGGTTCAGTTCAGTATGTCTTTTTTCAGTTTCCACTGTTAAAAGCTGTGGATGGTACCAATGAAACTGTTCTTTACCGTCCCCATTTTTGGTCACCCCTCTGTTTGAAACACTGCAGTTCGCCGATTGGTCAACAGCGGATGGTCAATCTTGCTCAGGGCTGAGTTGTGGCTGGTTTTGCAGCTTATGTAACCACTGTTTATACTGCGACAAGTTTTTAATATGGTAGTAAACTTATACCTATAAAATTAAAGGATGTGTTGCTGCCGCGAGCAGCAGCTGTAGGACTGAGGGGAAAAAAAATCACTGGTAAAAACTTTTATAGTGGAATGTTTACCTGCAATGTTACTCAATGCATGAGTTGACGATGTGAAAGCACATCTCAAATTTCAATATGACAACGCAGACCATTTTCTCTGTCTCCCTTGGATGACATGCACTTTTAGTAATGAGTGGATCTTCAAGCATTTAAAAATATGTATTACTTTTGACCGGATTATGTGAACTGCATATATTCTAATCCTTACTTGGAGTAAAAAATAAAAAACGGTGTGGAGCTTCATTCCTGTGGGCTACGGCAACACTAAACCCCTGCACTTGCCTGAGAAAGACTAAATGCACAATCCCACTATTTTTAAATGATCCCATCGAGGGAGACTCTCACTGTAGCTGGTTTTATTTCATTTTGAAAATGATGGTGTGGAACCCCTTTCTGTGGACGATAAATGAGGTTCACACTTCCCTCTGTGTCACCAGTAAAGAGGAAATACTGTGAAAGCTGTACGGAGCAGTAAGTGATGACAACAACCTCGCCCAAATTAAAGAGTACTGTCTGCAGTGGAAACGCTTAAAGAACCTAGAGTCTAGGTACCATATCTGAAGGGTTACTTATGGTTCCACGGTTACTATACTCAAAGTGTTTGGTGGAAACTGGGCTTTTAAGCGTTGTAGTGTTGGGAATAACAGAGGACCATTCTACTACCTGAAGCTCAATGGATGACTTGGTTTTTACTCAAGAGAAGTGGTTTAGTTTTAAAACTTAAAGTACCTCTTACAAACTTTCCTGTCTAACTTATTTGTTTGACCAACCTCACATTTGTACTTTTTTTTTAAAAATATTATTTTTGGGGCTTTTTTGGCCTTCATTAGATATGACAGATAGCCAGGAAAGGGGGGAGAGAGAATGACATGCAGCAAAGGGCCGCATGTTGGAATCAAACTAGTGCGCTCACTACCAGGTGAGCTACAGGGGTGCCCCCCTCATTCATTCTTCTGAATGCAAGTCAAAGAAGTCAATAAAGCAAGTCACTAGCTAGCCACTGCTCAGGTCCAGTTGGATTTGTAAAGAAGAGGGTAGACCAAATTGACAAACAGAGCAAACACGGCTGCCAGGGTGCCCAGAACAAAATAGCGCACACAGTCATCGTCGGGATAGTCCGACATCCTCTGCCTACGGTGCCGTCGCACCGACCCTTCACTTCTGTCTTCGTCTTCCTCATCTCGGTTCCTTGATGTTTGTCGCCTCCGCAGCGCAGAGCGGAACAGTCCGCGGGGGCCTTCGTCAAGCCCCTCCTCTTCTTCCTCCAGTTCCCGCCATATTAGAGAGGCCTGCGATTGGCGGAAACCGGTGTCAGCTTCTGGGAAAAGGCGTAGTCTAACAAATACTATGATTATGTTTAGAATCATTTAGCTGGTCTACCCCACAGTTTTAGATCAACAGAGATTCTGACAAGCTAATGAGCCAATGTTGTTGACAGTTTTAGGACAAACTGGGACAGTTTAAGAGGCTTGTTTCTCAGAAATCAGTCAGTTAACTGTGGAGGATATTGATTGATGATTTCAAAGTAAACAAACAGTCAAGTAAATAAAAAGTACAAGAACATCTCAACTGTTCCCCTGAAGCCCTTTCCTGCCAAACCCCATGGGGAGAAATGTGTAGTTTTGTGGTTTCACCCATACTCACTACAACACTTACCAACATTGTACATATGTGACAAAATGTTAAGGCGAACAGTTTTAGTTGACTGTGGGCTTACATACATTCACTGTAAAAGTGATATAAGAGTTGATACACTCAAAATAATATAAAATAAGTGACAGAAACAGTTTTGTCTTTGTGTATGTATGTTGGTTTCACAAGAAAACCATTAATCCCTTTTATCCCCTAAGATCACATACAGTCTCATGTCAATATCTGCATTACAGGGTCACATCTGACAATCTATGTGGCAAGTGTATAAACAGAGCACAGCATTAGTTTAATTTCTGTATAGAGAGAAGAATCTCATCTGGATACAGAAATTAAAGTGCACATTCAGAGAGGCAGAAGTCAGAAAGTGGAGACATCAAGAGTGATCTGCAGTTTTCCCCCATTGAACTTAACGACTCCATACAGATGTGCAAACGTTTAAGAGCAATCACAGCTCTCTCTCTCAGCCTCAACAATTGAACAGAAATCCTTATAATCTATCTAGTTAAAGAAGTGCACGCCACTGAAGCTACAAAAATGTCTAAAGATGCAAATACTGCCTGACAGCTGGGCTTTGTTGAGAAAATTAACAGACTATCTCAGTGAAGAATCTTTCTGGGCTGTAGTTATTGAGCACCTCACAGCAGGAGCTCTTGCAGGACTTACTGAATAGAGACACTGGTACTCAGAGACACCTAACACACAGGCTTCTGTCATAACCCCCCCCCCCCCCAAATACAACGAATTCCTGATGAGTGGCTGAAACATTCTACTATTTCCAAAACCCTGTGACAGGTGAATTTGAACACTTTGGAGTTTTGGTTGCATTCATGTATATTAATCCATTTACAACACAAAATGCCTAATGAAGTATTTGAAATCACTTCTAAACCTAGCAGGCACAGTCTGAGTCTACATCAAGAAGCATGAACACATGCAAAACTCAGATTTTTTACTAGGAAAGCATCTGCAAACAACCTGAGGATTTTTTTCACAGCAACACTTACATGGCATTAACTGTGGCGCTGCATGCTACTACTCAAACTAATCCATATATATCCTGCATTCAGCTCTGGACTACACTGCCATACATTACACTAGCATTTTAAACAGTCAGTGTTGCTTTTATTTCCCTGTTAAGTTGGATTCTGATCAAAGGAAAGGCATGTTTTATACAGGGTAAAATTCTGTAAATTAATCTTTATATCAGGGGTCAACTTCTGACTCAAGGGTAACAGAAAAATGATGTAAATATGAATTAGCCAAGGGATATCATAACCTTGGATAAAGCTTAACCTTGGCTACCACACTCCAATGTGAAAAGCCCTCCTACAGATGTGATATTCTGTCTCTTATTGTTGTGGCGCTCTCACCTGGCTGGCAGTAGCTCCTGCAGCACTGGGTGACTCGGCTCCTACAGGCCTGAGGAAGCGGGGCGGCCTCTCAACAGGCGAGTTTCGTCGACGGTAGAACAGGACGTAGGCGTAGCGCGTCACCACCTGACTCTCCTCCACCATTGTCACTGTACTGTCATCAAACAGACGCCAGCCTGTGGGACAAGGAGGATGGGTAGAGGAATGGGAGGAAGGGAGAAGAGATTGGTGGCCGGGTGGTAAAAAACAACAAAAGAAAAAAGAAAGGATGAACACTTGTCAGAACTACCAACTGCTGTATAAAGATGGGAATAAACCTCACTGACTTCACACTCACCAACATCGCTGCGCTGGCTGTTCTTATCACTTGGCAGGCGAGCATAGGCCGTGTAGTGACCTCCTATCATACCTCCATAATGGTTGATGACTGCGTACAAGTCGTAAATAGGGGGTTGTTGCATCTCATCCTTCTGGCCAATACAGAACTTACTTAGATCCAGATTCCTAGAAAACAGGATTAAATTAGAGGCAAGGTTATGGGATTGAGTGAAGAAGTTAGAGTTTACTCACCAAGATGTTGCGCATGTAAAAAATATCACATCTTCTTACATTAAACTAAATAAAAATAAATGATATGCTGCAGACTGATATGTGGTGGAAATTCAACCTTTCATTTACCTAACAGGGAAGTCAACCATGTCGTTGATCTTATCCCTCCAGATGAAACTCCTGAAGGAGAAGCGTTTGAGCTGGATGATTAAAACGTTGGGCAGGCGCCACAGCAGCAGTTGCTTGGAGGCCTCTCGGTGCTGCTGGCACTTTGGACAGTACCTTAAAAACAGACACAGTGTGGATAAACACAATATCGCTACATTGTCCTGCTTCCCAGTAAAAATGAAGGGGAAAAAAAAAAATTACACGTATGACAAATTTTGAAAGAAGTCACTCAGTTTCAAGTAAAAAATCAAAACAAATTGTACGTATAACTGGCAAGCAGGTATCCAAGTTCCCCAGCATGCCAAAGAGCCTAAGGCCCCCTGACTTGTGGCAACCAGGAAGCAAAAGCCATTGGTGAATATGGCTTAAGTATTATCTGTTTATTATCTACAGACTGGAAATGCATACTATTTTATGCAGAATCAAATTTGACTATGAAATATACTACTCACAATAAATTAGGGATAATTTGGTAGATTGTATATTTTTGGGAGATGCACGCATTTTCCAGCTCTGTCGTTTTGATCATGGCTATACAGCTCTATCTAGGAGACAGACTCAACTTGTTTTGAGCTTTGTATGATATGAATTCAGAGTTCTGTGCCTGATTGGTTCATGGAGGATTTTGTTAGGACCTCAAATGCATCATTAAACTAGAAAGATGCACTGTTGTTTGGTTTGTGGTTAGATAGTGGCTATGACCAACACAGATCCATACCATGCCTCCTCTGGTGCCAGCACCTCTGGCTTTGTGAAGAGGTTGAGGCACTGCTCCAGGGTGAAGTGTCCTGCTCTGGCTGTCTCACTCAGAGAACCGGGGTCCTCCTCGTACTCCAGTTCCTTGGAGCTCACAAGGACATACTCCTTCAGACGCTCATTGTTTTTCCACACCAGCTCCAGGGTGGCATCTTCAGGGAGGTCTGCCAAAAGGTCCTCTGCAGAGGGGTTGGGGCGAAGAAAAACAGTGCTGGTGTGTTACTCTATTTCTTTCTTCAATAACAATCTTGTGTAATAATAGACACAGCTAAAAAAGCTTATAGCCTATAAAAAACACACTGTCTAACACAGTGGAATATGCTGAACACAAACTATGGTCCTCAACATTACTTAAGAGTAACAGGTGATCAACATCTCTTTGATGGTCTCTAAAAAAACTGAAAATTAATAATGAATATGCAATTTTGCAAAATGAAAATAGGATGGGGCGTCAGTGGCTTAGTGGTAGAGCAGGCGCCCCATGTACAAGGCTTTTGCCGCAGCGGCCCGTGTTCGACTCCAGCCTGTGGCCCTTTGCTACATGTCACTCCCCCTCTCTCTCCCCCTTTCACACTTCACTGTCCTATCAATTAAAGGCAAAAAATGCCCATAAAAATATCTTTAAAAAAAAAAGAAAGAAAAAAAAAGAAAATAGGATGAAAAGGAAAGTACATTAGACATTCCTGGTTGTACCTTTCTCATCCAGCCTCTGTTCCTTGTTGTTAGAGTCCAGCAGAGCTATGTAGAACTGACTGGCGTGACCTGATGCTGATTCACTCGGATGCTGATACCCTGTTACTGCAGCTGCAGTGAAGTGTCAAGAAGGAGGAATAAATGAATGTGAGAGACAAGGGGTTAATAATTACAGAGGAATCTGTCTGTCAATAGCTATGTTACTACCTTCTGGTCGCACTGCTTTCTCACATGACGTCTCTTTTTCAGCATGAGGGTCCAGAGAACAGCAGGAAGTGGAGGAGAGTGGCTCAGAAAATCCTGAATCTGCAGTCCGCGTGGTGGACAGTGAGGTCTGAGAGGAGGAGAGGGGATCAGGCCCCTCAGAGTGAAGGGCTGAGGCCTGAGCACACTCTGCTTGGGATTCAGGCAGCGGAGAGTGACTCTCCGGCTCCAGATCACCTGCTCCTACAGTACTGCTACCACCCATGGCCTCATCCCCTGACCCAAGACCCTCAGAAGAGCCTGCTGGCATCGGGGGGAGGTCAACCCGGCACTGCGATGTTTCGGGGGATGTTCTGCCTGACTGGAATGGAGGCTGGAACACGTTGACAGAAAACCTGCACAGACAGATATTGGGGAGATTACATTAACAGCTTACTGCATTTTATAATGAAATCCTCCTTACTGTGAACTCAAGTGAAAAATGCATACTTATTCATCTCGGCAGCGGCGAGCGAGAGGTCCGCGGTCGTTTATAAAGTAATGTTATAGATAACTGTTTTATGTGTAGGTATGTAAATGTTTTAAAAGACGTTTATGTTGAAATAAAAATACCTACAAGTAGTTATGTTTCCTTGTATTAATACATATACAAGTATGTTTCCTTGTATTAGTTTGCCCTCTTGTGGACATAATGCGAAAAAAAAAATTTGAATGGTTCGAACCTATGAGTTATTTTTAGAAGGAATATTCGTATGTCATTTTTGAGCAATTTTGACAGCCCTACTTCACAGAAAGCCTCCTGCCAACTAGTGGTTTGGAGGTGTAATTGCAGAGTGGCACAGACACACCACCACATAGGTATAAATGCTCAAAATTTGCCGATTTTTGAAAATTTGCTCTGCTACAATGACAATAAAGACTTCTACTCTAAAATGGCGTAGGCTACGGCATAGNAAAAAAAAAAAAAAAAAAAAAAAAAAAAAAAAAAATTCGAATGGTTCAAACCTATGAGTTATTTTTAGAAGGAATATTCGAACGTCATTTTTGAGCAATTTTGACAGGCCTAGTATATACTAGTAGTATTATTTTAGTAGTATTTTCTGTTACTATTTGTCATCCAACGAGTAACAAGCTGGTTTCATCTATCAACATTTATGGCTTTTTATCATTTAGAAATAAATGATAAAACTAAAACTATGTATTTTTCCAATAGCTCACATTTTTTAGTATTTCCCAGGAGAAAAATAATCATTTCAAATGTCATGATTAATTTAACTAATGCAACATGGGCTCAGATAAGCAGCAGCATATCGATGGAGAGATTAACCAATCAAAATTATTTATTCAAATAAGTCAATTTCGCTTTTTGCAAATATCCTACTAATTTGTTCTAAGATCTTTATGTGTATGCAATGTTATATTCTGAATGATGATGAGCACCAAGGACTGTGAGTTACACTGCGTACCTGGAGTAACCCTCCAGAAGCTGGGTGAGACGAGCATAGGAGAGCCGGGATTCTGGCACGCTGACCAGGAAGGGCAGGCCGACGTTCTCTGTGTTGGGTCGACATAAACCCTTGTGATTGGGCCAGTGGTTCCTCTGACAAGCTCTGACAAAGGAGTTAACATGTTCATAGAAAACTTAATTGACTTCAGAACAAATTAGAGATAATTTATAAACAGTTTTCCCCCCAACAAATCTGTTTCTAACAATCTTGATGTGTAATCTTGAGCAAGGCTGAAACGGCATTTTCTAGTAGAACTCACTGATTGCAGTAGCCCACACGATAGCAGCGAGTGCATCGCTTCAGCTTGTCTTCCTCAGACACTGGAGGCTTCAGGCAGGCAGCACACTTTGAGATGGGGATATTGGGGACCTGGAGTCTCTGTTGGGCAAACAGTGGGCAAAGAAAGGCCTGTCAATATCTGTTCACACTGACCAGGGTTCATACACATTTTTACCAATAAATTTCCATAGCTTGTCCATGACTTTTTTATGCCTTTGAGGCAAATTTTCCAGACCATATATTCTCTGAAACATCTGTGTATACATGAAAAATAAGAATAAAAAGCCATGTTAAAGTTTAGGAGGTGCCAGTCCAAAGGTACATATATTGTATATGAACACTTGCGTTTTCCGCATGCAAATCTGGTACCTAGCTGGCTGTTGGGGGACATGACCTGAAAAACTTGCTTATGTCTTCACATGACTTGCAGGAATACTGATAATAGGCTATATTTAGTGCCTATAGTACCTCTGTAGTTTTGGCTTAATTTGTAGACATCGCACCCAAAATGTCACCCAATTTACCTTGTTTGATTTTGTCTGATTGTCCCCTGGTGCTTAACCTGAGTTGTTTTTTTTTAACATGGCTAGCTAGTGCTGCCTCTCCCATGTACAAAATGTCAAACGTTTAATTACACAGTCCACATTTTGCATGTCCCGGGTCATGGTCTTTCTCAAGCAATGCGTTATACTTGTCCAAGTGAAGCCAGACATAAAAATGGAATTTTCCAGGCATTGTGCATATTTATATCTATCTCTACAAGCTGCAACTCAGGTCAGAGTCTGATGTTATACACACAGAGAACAACATGACTTCAAGTGACATGACTGACGTGGCTGATCTGCCCAAAACATTTATTTATACAAAATATATATATATATATATATACTCTATTTAACAAGTATTTGTGAGGCAAATTTCCATGACTTTTCCAAACCTTTTTGGGTTTATCTGTTTTTCCAGAACATCTTTTGGATTGGAAATTGCTATTTTTAAATGCCATGGATTTTCCAGATTTGTTTAGACTGAAGAATCCCGTCTGGCGTATTTAACATGTTGCAGAAATATAAAATCAGGACTTGGTTGTAATTACCTGCTGCACTCGGAGCAATACCACTCTTTCTTTGGCCATGTCTTTGGAAAGCACCTCAAAGCAGAATAACATGTCAGAGGAGGACACCGTGTCCAGGGAGTGGGATGACAGGAACATGCGCTGGAAGCGGTTCTTCCCCACCTGAGAGGGACCAAAAAAAAAAAAAAAAAAAAAAAAAAAATCCACTTTTGTCTTTAAGTATCCTCTAACAAATCATCTCCTAAAGTAAAGAGTGAGAGTGAGTAGTATTCAATGACTTCCATTGCTCGTCATTACTCTAAATCTGTCGGAGTTCTATTTAGGTGCACACCCCCATAATGAGTGCAGAAAACATGTGAATCATATTAGTAATTTTTGTCAGCGTATGAAAACCTGAGTATTTTAAAAAACAAACCTCTGCCAGTCTGAGGTTCTCTGGTTTCACCCTGACGTTCCTGGAGATGGATTCGAGGACTTCAGCAGTGCTTGAGTTCTCTTTGCTCACACTCACCAAAAACTGAGACGCACACATAAAATTTTTACATTAGTGGATCACAGGGAAGATACCTTTACATTTTCTCAAGACAAAGCAAAGCCATATTTCTGCATTATATTGGCTATGTTTACATGCACACAAACATTAACTTGCTATTGTGAATATAACAATAGTCTGAATTTAAAACATGTAACGTTTGTGTTTGTACATGTTCATGTAAAATTAATATTAGTGGAATATTCATTTTCATTAGCCAAAAAACAAAACAAAACAAAAAACTGGATATTTTGTGCATGGTAACGTAGTCAGTGTTAACTGACACTGTGAGTAGTATGACCATTTAAGTGGAGGATCTAAACCAGTTATTTTATCTTACCTTAATGGGTTTTTTATGAGGTTCCTTAGCGAAGTAGAAAACTGAGAGCACCTTTTGTTTCTGGGGCAAGGGCACAGGCAGGTAGAGGAAAGGGTCAAAGGTGATAGACACCTGAAAAAGAGGAGAAAGAAGTGAGGAGGAGGTGAAAGAGGTAGGTTAGTCATAACAAGGCAAACATTTTAAAGGCATTTACTTCAAAGAAAATACAACATTTGTGAAGGGTTACTGTGTGTTACCTTGGAGCATGTTGGGCAGACAAGCTTGGATTTGAACTGGCCTTGAAAGAGGTCCACTATAAAGGAATCATTTCTCATCTTGTGCCTCTGCCATGCCTCCTCAGCCACCACCTGTGCCAAGAGACAAAACACATCTTCACTAGACTGCAGAAGGAGAGGCAGTTGTTATTTCAATCAAATATCTCCAAAAGAATTGTCTTTTACTTTGTTCTCCTCACCCTTTGTAAAGTAACGATAAAAGTGCAAGTGATTATACTCAAATCCAAGTCACTAATCACAGCAGAAATTGCAATACATTTTGTGCCGGAGACTTCAAAACCAGATCCCCTCTAGATATCTCATAGGTAAGGGAAACACCCACCTCATCAAGGCGTCCGTCAGAGTCCACTGTCTCTGTGTAAGGTTTATTCTGGATGCGGTTCAAGTCTTCATGGAGCCCGTCCAGCAAGAAAGCCATGAACTCCTGGGCATCGTGCTGGGCGTAGCCTGTAAACTGACTGGCTTTACTGGCCACAATTGCCTGTGCAGTTATAAACAAAGGACAAAGAGGGGGGAAGTGGAGATAAAAACACTAATCATATTGGCCTTGCTACGTTCAGCATAAACAAGTTTCCCATGAGGGAAGAGTAAATGTTAAAATTGTGATCCATGCAGTCAAAGACAGATTGAATACTTCCAAAGTAACACTTCATAGCAGCTACAGCAGAATTAAAACATATTTTTTTAATGGAAAATCTCTGGGTGCTGCTTGTATACCTTGAGTTTTGAGGGTTGAAAGGCATGATGTGTTCCTTTCCAAAGGGCCCTGAGCAGCACAGCAAAGCCAATAGCGAGCCTGCCTCCTGTTCCCAGCGGATTATTGCAATTAATTTCTGCCTCAAATGCTCGATCTGCAGGGGCACACAAAATACAGGAAATGGAAATGGAACCAGACATCAATCACAGAAGTCACTGGTAGCTTAGACGTAGATAGACATCATAGTATAAACTATCTTGGAATGATTTCAAGTGGATGAACGTGGAAACAAGCCAAAGGTCTTTAAAAAAACTTCAGAAAAACCTTCCTTGTGGTTGCTGCTGGTTATTGTTATAATGAATGTAAAAAAACTATATAGCCCTTTGTATATAAGCGATGTATAGTTTTATCAGCTCATGTATCATCCCTACAACATTCATTGTCATTCAACCTTTAGCCAAGTATATCATGTCCAAAGTAACATCGATATTGCGGCAGTGTTTTGAATGTGTGAACTGCAAAAATTATTATAGAGTATATGTGGCATATTCAGATGAAACTACAAGTCCTCATTAAATTTGCCCCTGTGGGCAACAGATTTTGTGTCCATGTTAGCAGTTGCTAGGACTATCTGCGAGCAGAAGCAGCCAATATCACCAGAATTAATGAGCCAATAATTATCATAGCATTAACTGTTCATCTGTGTACCCAAAACCTAATAAAACACACCATGTCCTATTCCTTAGTAACATTAATAGGTTACTGGTTTTGGCAGTAGAATAAAGTAGTATAAATAATTATGCATTTGGTCAACATTAAGAGCATTTTTAATCAGACTGGCGTTAAAATGTATCTGTACTACTTTGAATTTATTTTAATATGGGTAGGCCCAAACAATCTGGTCATTATTTACCGTGGAAGTAATCCCTGAGTTCTCTGGTGTTGGACAGGGATTGGATGACGCTGTTCATGAAGCAGGTGTTGCCAAGGTTGACCAATCCTGTAAAACCAGGCAGGCACACCTTCTTCTCCTCCTCTTCTTCATGGCGCTCATTGCTGGCAGGAGGTGCATGAGTCATGGGCTGCACCATGCAGGTAGGTTTAGGCTGACAGGGGAAAGATATACACACCAATTCTACAATTTAGAACAATTAAATTTTAAGTGTTGGACTGTTCTGCAATACATTTTTCTTAAAATAGTTTGGTCTGTCTTTAGGTTAGATGATTTAAATATTTATCTTTCTGCTCACCGTGGTAACAGTGGGCTCTGGCTTAGTGATAGCAACATGCTCAGAGACAGTACGAGGAGCCACAGTATCCAGACCACCATCCTCCACTCTGGATGAGGCCTTAGGGGGCTTGGGTTTCTCCTCCCCAACCCTCGGAGGCTCCTCCTTGGCTGGGAGGCTGTGCTGGCTGCTGCCTGGTTGGCTCTTCTCCATGCAGGCAGGGCTGGAGGGCACGGCGACCTTGGCGCCACCCACTGCACCTTAAACAGAGGAGAATGGAGCTTGTAGTTAGAGGATGATGGTCTACATCAAGAGACTGAACAGTGCTGGACATGAATAGATGTAAACTGTAGTGCATAACTAATGGCATTTTAAGACTTTTTATTTGTACATAATATTGAAAAATCACTTTTTCACAATTTTAAATCATATCATAAAATCTAATCAATTTACACTTGTTACTCTTTAGCTAATGTAACAGTGCTGACAAATCATATGGTTTCTGCAATTTAAACAATCAGCTAATTTCCACATTTTGCTGTGTTGACATATAATCTTATTAATGCTTTATTCTTCAGGTCTGCAATTTTCAACATATTTCCTATGAGGTTTGTATAAAAATGACTTGTTAGTATGTCATTTGGTGTCAATTACAGGAAAACAGGAATTTCATTGAAAGATACTCCCTTAAAACCCAAGTAAATATATACATTCAGTATTATTTTGTTATTGGAACCTTTGTTATCTAGATATTTTAAATCATATGTTTGCTTGTACACATTTTTTTTTACATGTTTGGCTGACTTGTGTGTACCAATTGAACACTGTCTCTATTTGGAAATGTAATTAGGAGAAACTAACACAGTTCTTCCTGGAAAACTTCCAAGGAACTTGCCAGGAAGTATTTTAAAACTGCGGACTTCATAATATAACCCTTTACTGAAATCTACTTTGGAAACATTTCATGGGCTCTCAAGGGCAGCAAGCCTTGGGGTCACGGAGTCTGCAGGCCACATAAGGCTAGCAGGATAGACTGGCACCCATATCTATTTACTGGATAAGTTACAGAGTTCAAATTCCTGTCATTGAGAGCTACCCTAAAGCACACATACATTTGCCCCTGACACATACAGTTAAAAAAAACCCACACACAAACCATGCCAGGAGTTTGACTTCTTATATAAACACACAGGCATACAGGCCACCTGTCTGTGTGAGAAAAACACCTTGCACACCTTGTGTGGCGGGGGCCTCCAGACCCCCCCAGCGCTGGCTGTGCCTCTTCTTCAGGGTGATGTCCAGTCGGGACGGGGTGAAGGAGTAGCTGCATTGCTCAGGCTGGATCAGGTTCCTGAGGCACGGGAGAGAGAAATGTAGACAGGTCAGATTAAAAGACAAAAGAGTGACATGAAGCTGCAGCTCATCACTGATCTGTTACAAGTGTCTTACCCACTAAAGTCTGTGGATGAATTTTATTATTTTAACATAATGAGTGTTTTAAATACATTAAAATATCTGAATTATGACACAAGGTCTGTCTTGATTATCTCATTTGAGTGAAACATTCAAACATTAAAAGCTGCTCCTTTTCATACACTGCCTTTGAAAATCTAGACTTGTGAGTTGTGATTTAATTTTGAAAAGCAACCGATGGTTAATGAACGGTCTGATAGCTTTCATGATTACTTCATTAATATGACACAGGACAAATGTCTCTAATCTACACTACAGACATTTGGGCTGAGTATTTAATACAAGAAAAGGAGAATATTGGGACTTACTGAACTGAACTGTGATCGCAGTTTAAGTCAGGCACCACCTTATTGTTTTTATGCGTTTGACCTGATGCAGCATGAGTGCTTTGGCACTGTTTTGTTTATTCATGGCTCACGGACCAAAGTGAAGTAAAGTGCTTAACAATTATTTACTGATATTGAAGAAGTTGAAGAAGTTTTTTTGGAACCTAAGGTAGTTTGCAAAATTGCACAAACAATCATGCAATCTCTGCTCTCTCCTACTGCCCATTTAAAGATTATATATTTAAATTTGAAAAACATTTAACAAACACACGAATGGCCACAGTGACTGCGACTATTACCTGAGTTTGACTTGCCACTTGAAGACTGTGTTTGGTCCACAGTCTGAATGAAGCCGCAGAAAGTTGGTATCACTGTGGAAGGATGACACAGAAAGATCATTTGCTTATTGTTATTTAAAGACATTAAAGCATCCTGAAATGGCAACCATGCTTTGTTGGTAGTGTATAAGGGCTGAAATATTAATCAAAATTTTACTGATATCGCAATATGGTCTACTGCAATTTTCAAATCACAGGATTAAAGAATAAAATGCGTAACAAATTACCATTCTAAATAAAATACTGTCAGGTCTTGGCATATACATCATATTCTACAGACTTTTTCCACTGAAAATGAGAATATCAAAAATAATTACTCAATCTAGTATTACAAAAAAAAATAAATAAATAAATAAAAAATCACAATTAGACATTTTTTCAAAATCATTCAGCCCTATGGCGTATTCCCATTCACTACCTTGTCTGGAAGATGAGGGTGAAGTCCTGTTCCCTGAAGATGACCCTGGCTGTCTCCCTGCAGACCCCCTTCATGTAAACATTAACCACCATCAGGTCCGTGCCCTTCTCGTAAGAATCATTCTTCACAAATTGCAGGTTAACCATTGGCTCTGGGGCTGCAAGAAGTTATTACATGTATCAACAAACTCATTAAATAAATACCAAAAAACTGAATAAATCAGTGCTAACTGAAGAGCAGCAAACATGACTGTGTAGTACTTTGTTATTGCTCCATCTATCTACATATACTGTTTGTGTATACACTGTATATGTGTGACAATGTGGCCTTACAAAAGGTTCTACATGAATTAGATGGAAGTAAGTTGGTTTACAATGAAACAATGGCAGTTTTAACAGGTGTACGATAATCCAACCCTCAGGCCCTCTGCACTCCCCACACCTTCTTAACTAACCTTCCTGTTGTTTCATTTCCAGAGGAGGCTCCTCCTTTGACTGGTCCCGCTTCTCCTCTCCGTCACAGCTGCCCTGCCTCTGGGCTGGACCAGGTGAATGGCCTTGTTTGGCAGCCACGCCAACAGTTGGTATCGAGCCTGCCTCTCTTGACTCAAGCTGCTGGAGGATCAGAGTATCCTGCTCTGATTCCTGCTCAACAGGCTTTTTCTCTGGCTCAGAGTCAGTTCTATCTCGCTGTGTTTCTGGAGAAGCAGAGTCCACTTCAACAGGTTTGAGGCAGTCACTGGTGCTGACGGGAGCTGCTGGTTGGCTATCACTGCCATGTGCTTTTGCTCGAGACCTGTCTGAAGACTGGTTCCTCTTCTCCGGCACCTGAATCAGAAAAGACACAAGGAATTATACCTCAAGTCCTCCAGAGAAAAATGTCACTCTCTAGGGCCTTAGCAAGGCTCAACAGTAAGGACTGCCTGACTGCCCAGGGCAAGTAAAATGTCATGTTGGGCAAGTAAATCTTGCAAGTAATTTGCCCAGTTGGGGAAGTGGTAAAAAAAATAAAATAATCAAACACATTAGGCATTTTCGGTCCAGAGGAACTTTTTCAAAGTTCAAGGATCCCCCTTTCTGTTGCGTCTCCACTTGAACTAGAAACGGTCGTAGTTTTTACAATACTGTCTTGAGGGACATTTTTTAGTTCCTACTTCAAAGTAGAAAAAACTTGTTAGCTGTGTAAACAATAGACAACACAAAACACAAACAGCAGTTCATAATGAAAAAAATACAGACAAATAGGCCGACAGTGAAGACCTAAAGGCTTTGCTGAGCATATCTGCAACTATGGAAATACAATGTGATTTTGACTGGACAAAGCAAAAGAGACAGTGCTATACCAACCGTCATCTGGCTCACAGTTAGGGCGGTACCATTATGTATTGAGATCATAATTATTTATCACAATTATTCATAGTTTTTAGGGACAAAATATGTTTGTTGCACTTTCACATTTAAATAGTACTGCTTTCACTTCGATGCTATGCTGCATTACTACTACACTCTTTGCATATGATTTGTTCAAGCCAAAATTGCTATTGTGAGTAATATTTGAATTATTGTGCAGTCCAACTTAAAGTATGTCACTTCAGCATTCCTACTGGTGATGTAAATGTGATGTAAATTCCTACTGGTAATGTAAATGCAAAGAGAAAGGTTAGAGTGGAGAGTGTCATAGCAAGAAGTAAAGCACAGGTAGAAGGTCTATTAGCAAAGAAGGAAAGTGACCGACGGAGAAGGCAAACAAGGATTTGTATTGGTGTCACTTTTCCTCGGTGGAGAGCCCTGAAGGAAGAAATTGGGCTGAGGGCAGACACGGATGTTGCCTTGCTGCTGTTGGATAAGTAAGTGACTTGGTTTATAATTATATTATGAGTAGTATGTGTTGCTGTTACATGTACTGGACCTAGTACTTTATTATTTTCTTGGAAATGGTGCTATGAACGTAATGTAATGTTAGCAGCCTGGTGTTCGCCACGTTGTGTAGCACTGTTTACACAGTGTGAAGCGAGTGTTACTCTGTTTACACGGTGTGTGGCGACTGGCGAGTGTTACTCTGTGTACTGTGTGTGGCGAGTGTTACTCTGTGTACACGGTGTGTGGCGACTGGTGAGTGTTACTCTGTGTACGGTGTGTGGCGAGTGTTACTCTGTGTACATGGAAGTGCTGCCGGCTTATTAGTTGTAATAACGCATTATCCGCTGGGAGGCGACAGAAGGTACGCACTATAGCTTTAACTTTAGTCTTTGTTATTTGATAACCACTACTAAATAAAATAATTTTAATGGGGCTAAGTAGATTTCTGACTCACTTTCCTGACAGGGTAAGTAAAAAAAACATTAAATCCCTGATTAGACGCTCTAGAGACCAAGTAGGAACTCCATTCTCCCTCTCATCATTGCAGTTATCAAGAAGAAAGCAAACAACCTGTTCCAGGTCAGACCAAGACCATTCACAGTGACAAGCTCTTCCATGAGAGCTTAAGCATCAAAAGTTGACTTTTTTGACACAAGATGCTATGGAGACACCTCACTACACTATACAATCCAGACAGAGAACAGTTTCTCATGTCTGGTTCACTTCTCTTCATCGGGCAATCTGTTGTGTGAACAAACTGTGAGACTGATGACAGAGGCACTGAGTTGATTTGCAGAAGCAGTTATAAAGAAGTGTGTTTGCTGTTTGTAATAATGTTTATTAAAATTACAAGTCTCTTCCAAGCTCTTGAAAAGGCACAGCCCACACAGGCCAGATGGTGTTATTGGCTGTAATCTTATTGACTTATGGTGCCAAATGATTTGGATAAATCTTCCAACTGTGATTTCTTGTTCAACAAATTAAACTCCCGTCCTGTAGCTGTGATCTATGTAGTTTGAAATAAGATATTCTTACACATATACTGACATACCATGATCACAAATTCTCCTTGTTTCTAAATGGACATTTGAAAATGTTGATACTTGTGATATACTAGGGATTCCACAGTGAGGAAATTTCCCCACCAGTTATGAACAAATGACAACACCAGTGTTACCGGTGCATTTCACAGGAAAAGATCTTTGTCGATAACACTCAATATTTGTAGAGTGCTTCACAAAGTTACTGCCCATGCCAGCCGAACATTTCCTATTGCTGTAACTTCAGGTTAAAAGCATTTACTAGCAAAACACGAATTGACTTTTGTTCTGAAGTAGTCACAATAAATGCTATGTGTTTTTCTGTGAGATTAGCACTACTGCTATCGTTCATCAAAAACACACCTACACAAACAAGACAATGGTCATTTTAGGATTTGTTGACAGTGAATCAGTTTGAAATAATGCAGGTAGTAATGAAGCAGTCAGGAGCAGCCACAGTGAGCTGTTATATGAAGAGCTGCAGGCAACAGATGCAGCAGACTGAATAATCTCCAACTTCTTAGAGACATAACCAACTCCCTTTCCCTCGTTACTGTTATCAGGTTCCCTATAGCAGTGGGTTTAAATTTGAAATATTGTCAAATAGGAGCTTTTGCTTTTTGCTTTGGCACCAATACCTCCAACATTGTCTTATCCGTCAACTCAATCTAAGTGATAAGTGAAATTTTACTCTTGCTACTCTGTGCTGCGACTCTGCTGCTGCTGCTGCTGCTGCTGCTGCTGCAGGGAGCAGATTCTGTCAGTTTATAACTGTAGTGACTGTGTTTTGACTGAATACTGACAAAAAAAGAGCAAAGGGATACTGAGGGTGGTGGGCAAGTAATCAGCGTGTGCCCCAGCATCATGTAACACTGGATAACACAGAGTACTGCGGCAAGCCAACAGTATGTGCTTTAGTTGAGTAACATTACTCAATAATCAATTTTAATTATGACATTCAAAAGATTGTTGAGTCTCATTCTCAGGTCGTCAAATACCGACGTTAGACTGAACATCCAACCCAAATGGTCCAAATGACTACCTGGGAATGAGACTCAACAATCAACTATCATTCTCCAGAGCTACATGCAGCACCTTTAAGATACATTTTACTTCTGTAAGTTTCTATGTTTTACGGAATGATACAGTGTGCTGTAAAACACACATTATAACATGGCCAATATTAAGGAACTGAAATTCAGTTTTCATGTACATTACCGAAACAACAAATTAATGATCAATAAGTACAATTCAACATTCTCAATAAAAGCAACCCAGTTGGAGTGTTCACATCAGCAACTGAGATGTCACAGCTTTTCTCACCTGAGTTTTGTTGGTATGGCTGCTGGCAGTGACAGCAACTCCTGGTTGCTGTTCCTGACCACTGCCTAATCTCTCTGTTCTGTTGTCTCCATCTCTGCGTTGCATCTGAGGGCTCCGACCAGCGGGCAGGTGTGTGTGTGGAGCTTTACCACTGGCTACTGAAGACTCAACAGAGTGTGTGTCTCTGTCAGCAGGTGGTGTAGCCTCCTTGGTGGTCTTGGGCAGCCGTACAATGGTGCGCTTGGCACTGGGTTCCTGAGGCTGCTGCTCGCTTTGTGTGACTATAACAGGCTTGCTGGTGGTGATTGAGCCATCTCCAACTCCACCTTTCACCCCTACAGGGTCCATAGTGGCCTTGTCACACGCTGGTTTGTTTTTCAGGCCGCGTTTGATGCCACGGTCAGCTTTGCTGCCACTGCGTCTTGACTCGCTGTGTGCGGGTGAGGAGGGGGGCTGGGGCTGGAGTTGTGGCTGCGAGGAGGACAGTTTGGGTTTCTCTAACGACTCTGAGACAATAGGCTTAATCTCCAGCTCCTTGTCCTTTTTGGTCTCTGTAGGTGCTGCCTCCTTCTCCTTCTCCTTCTTGTTTGACTAAAGCAGAGTATACAGAAGCAAAATCATTTTATTAAACCAAACATAGACTGAGCTGTAGACCCTATTTACAGTGTCACTCATGACTAAAATGCAGTCCCTCCAGAATTTTCCTGGCTGTTTTGGAGATTGTTGTGCCCTGAAATGCCTGATTTCACTGCAGCTTTTCTATAAATTGCAATGCATGTTACAATGCTGTCTCAGTCAGTTTTGCAATAAATTGCGGTTGCAGTGATTGGACAAAATTGCAAGGTCACAAAAAATGCACAGGGATTGAATGAATTTGCGTAATTGTTGCGATTGCAACCTGACAACATCCTGGTGGGGCTGTAAACTGACACAAATTCATGAAATAATAAAATACTGTGCAATAATTCTACATCTCTTAGTGCAGATAAAAACAAGACATAAATGTCCTCAGGTAGGGATATTAAGAAAAACAAATCATCTAATCTTTCGTGACTCACCTTAAGCGAAGGCCAGATGTGAAAGGGAATCTTCTTGTGCATGATGACGTGCAGGAAACCTCCCTTCTCCTTGTACTGGACTCTGCTACAAGAGGCCTCTATTTCCTCCTGTAACTGGCAGCTCCACTGCCGTCCATCTGAACAATGATAACATATATACAGATGGTATTTGAGCTGAACTGGACTCATTCACTTAATATAAATGATACAATTACAACAAAGACAAGATATACCAGTCAACAAGCAGTATGTCTAAGTTTAAATATGTGGTTATCATGCACATTTTCAGGACAGGTTCAGAGTCCAATAAGGCATAAACACAAACGTGCAACTGTGCCTCTTCTTCTTTTGTGGTTGTATTGTAATTATTCAACCCACTTTTTTCATTTGTGCTCCACTGTAGTTTCTTTTACTGTTACATATTATACCAAGACTCACCTGGGAAGCACACATGGCAGTGTGTATCAGTAAAGGTTGTGCTGATGTCCTCTATCCTCTGCACCCCCTCCCCACAGCGCAGCCTGACAGTCACTTCATTGACATTCTGCTTCCAGTCCACAAACACATCTGAAAAACACAAAGGAATGAACAGTCACATAGACGTGAAACCAGAGAAGGGACTTTCCTTTTCCCACCGGATCTTTAAAATGCAGTCAAAATTATTAGTCACAGGCGTGAGCAAAATTGACATTAAGTTTTTAAACATCAAATGAGAGAATGAGCTGTTGATCCTATCAGACAAATATGGGCACAGAGAATGAATAAAAACTTAGAAGGGCACAACAGCAAAATTCCAACCAGGCGTTTAGGTAAGACCAGCACTGAACATAGTGTGTCTCTACTACCCTGAGAGAATATACACACATTGATTTGCACCTGCTCACAAATTCACATAGGGCATACCACTGCACTAATGCTCAAGTGGGTCAGTCCGGGGCATTCAGGCACAGACCGAAGCAGACAGTACAGTAAACTCAGCAATCGCAGATGGGAAATCTAAAATTGTCTGCGCCACATAAACTGTAGACCAAGTAAACAAATGGCATTAAGGCAAATGATTTATTTATTTCAGAAAACATGCGACTAGCCATAGCCATACACACGCTTCTCAAGGTAGAATCAAGAGTGGAAACTTTGACAGAACTATCCCAACATGAAAAACAAAACAAATGCGTACCATTCTTCATAGTGACCTCAAAGTTGCAGCAGTGATTAAAAAGGAAATATCATCCCAGAAGTAAAGCGAGCACTAGATTCCCTACCGGCAGAAAAGTCATGTATGGATCTTAAGCACACTTTATTTGGTCTTCATCAACAGCTAGAGAGCGTCGACTTTCCCACCGTCACTTCTTCACTCTCTCACCCCCTCTCTCAAACTTAATCGCTCTATAAAGGTCATAAGCAACACCCAATCCCTTCCAGCTGGTGACAGTTGCACTTCCAGTGGAGCCACGCCACAGTGTACTTTCATACCCAGAGCCGGACCTAGCACATTCAGCGCCCTAGGCAAGCCAGCAAAGTAACGTGCATGCACTAGCAATACATAGCACTGACCAATCAAAACAAAGCCTATTTATTCTTCTTGTGTACTTGTGTTTACTGCAAAAGCATGAAGCAGCATTGTCTGTGATATAGTTTAAAACCCTCTGTTGATAATCAGCAAGGCAACATAGAGAACAAACACCAAATAATTATGATGAGCGTGATAGAGTATCTCTCAAAGAATACACCGATTCAATATCAAGTATCCATTCTGGAGCTGTTCCTGGTTATTTAAGTGCTGCATACAATACAAACTCCTCATGTTTTACCATATTGAGTGGTTGGTCAGCCACAATTTAGCTCTGTTTTAAGCAGAATGTCATTTTCACATTTTGTTTATTGTCTGAATAACACCAGTTTAACAATATTGGGCTGAATGAAGATGCAATTAGTTCAACAACATATAGTGCTCACCTGTCCTAAGTCACACTCGTGAAAATTACTTGCTGGGTTGATCCTAGCCTTACTTTTAAGTACACTACAGTTAATTTAACAACACTGGATGAGTACTCAGATCGGCCGATACTCAACATTGAACAAACCAGTTCTGTGGCAAAATAATTAAAGTAGAGCTGCTTTGCATTGTTTGAGTGACTTCAATCTGCACTGACTTAAGACTTGTATGAGACAATGTTGTGAATTACCAGCCTCTTTGGTCGAGGGCTTATGGGGAATGTGGTTATGTCTTGCATCAGCATGTCTACCTTCAGGGATGAACCAGTGTCAGGCATATCCATCACATAAATGTTATCACAATACTGCACTGATTCCTGTGCGAAACAAATAAAGGATGAGGAAGTAAGGTGGTTTTCCATCGGATCACTTATACGGATTAGCATGCAGATTTTTCCCACTAAGAAAAACAAAGCGGAGTAAACACAAAAATAGGTACCAGAAGCAAAGAGAAACCATGAATCTAATTTACAAGTCCTGTTGCACAAGGATTATGCAGAATACTTAATTCCCAATAATATATACTTGAGTGCTCAGGTCAGACAACCTACACTTCCCTCCCTTTTTAAAGTCAAGCTGAAAAAAAGATTTGTCCTATACAATTTGTAACTGTACAAGACATTCCCGGGAATCTTCAAAAACAAAAAGCAGGTTTTACTGAGTACTACCACTACAAGAGTTATATGAGAGAGACACACACACCCAAAAATAAATGGAAAGTACACTGTGTACAAAGTGGTCAACTCACAGAAAAAAAGCATTCAGGCAGGAGCATGAATTGCAACAAAGTGAGGAAATTAACAGCAAAAGGACAACATTGCAACTCAATTTATTAAAGAATGTTAAAAAAAACCTAATAATTAATCTGGTTTGTTTCAGTGGGTTATGTGATATTTTAAAAGCTCAAAAAAAAAAGACAAAAAAAAAAGCAGAAACTGCTGCATCAACTTGCTGAACAGTTCATATCATAAATGTGTTAATGAATGACAACAAAATTTATGGTCAGCACTGTGCAGCTGTAACAGACCCATAAATGTGAAACTTTTTTTTAACAGTTTTTGTGATCTACACCAGTGGTTCTCAACCTTTTCATATCAAGGACCTCTCAATTGATGCACATTATGTCACAGACCCCCGGGGACCTCCATCTGCAAAGATTTTGGTTGTAAGATATGATTGGGACCATAATAGTGACGATGTTAACAATAGTTATAGAAATAACCATTGAGTGAATCCTATGATCAGATGTCACTCTTTACTCACATTGGGTTCATTTCTATAGTGAATTAAATAGTGAAAACAAACTTTTCACTATTATCAGATTTCAGTATAGTGTTCTAACTAATATTTCTTGCAATAATTATTATTTCAATGACTCAGGCAATCAGAAAATTGCTTGTTTTGAACTGTACAACCAACTCTCTAAAAGCCAGAGATTATCATTTCACAATCACATGACGAAGTGAAAACACAACAGTGCTGAGAATAAATCCTGAGTAACACATTGAAAACAACACTACACCTGTATGATGTATACACAACTCTGTGTATAATGTGACAGTTCTTTGTTTGCTATGCTATATGGCATGGCACTTTGCAGCGGTAAATCTTGTTATTCTGCAAGCAGGGAATAAGTACTAGCTGTTGAACAACCAAATGGTGTCTAACAGCAGTTTGTTTTAAGCTTTTCCCACCAAAACTCATTGTGTGTATGCTTGAGGTCTAACAAACATGATAAATTCATTTCCTTCTTCAAACATTTGCAAAGCCAATTATTTGTTTAAATTATGCATTTTTTCCCCCCATGTATGTTTGCTAGCTTTTTTTCTCCCTTGCCTTTTGTTGACCATTTAATAGTGTGACACTGGCAGCAGGACATGAACTGCATCACATGCTTACTTGTACATATAACAAACAAAACTGTAACCCATTTGTAAAAACACTGCTCCAGAGCACTACTTATGGTCATCCTGTGAAGATTTTGACCACTTTGTGTCGTGCACACATGTACATGTGCAATGCATAACACTTTTCTGCCATGGGTTTCATGCTAATCCTCTGATTGGTGGCACTTAAAAAAACACAGTGATGCACCCTCAAAGGCAAGGAAGAATAATAAGACTGCAAGCTAGTAAATATGGATGGAAAAAAATGCAAATCTTTGCATATTCAAAAACCATTCCGAAAATGCACTCAGTACATTTGAATACCTCAAGGATGCGCACAATTAATGTAAACATAACTAGCAAACCTTTTTAACAAGAAACTTCCCAGGGCACCTTTATTATAACTATGGTATTATTTTAAAGTCATTTCAGATTCTCTTGAGATTGCTAGTGTCCAACAAAACACACTCAGCTTCTGAGCTGACATGGTTGGGCTTTAATTGTCAAACAGGTATATACATTACAATATGACGCAAATGGTAATAACTGAAAAGCACTACCATATCTGCATTACATATATTAGGCTTATAATATACGGCAATATCTACACCACAGTGTGGTTAGAATGTGTTTTTCCATTTGTTTGTTTGTTTATAAAACACAGTTTAGCCTGACAAATAATCAGTAAATTCGTCAATAACAAATGCTTTTTTACTTGCACAACACAGTTAATCCTGCTTACCTTTCTTGACCTCTGCAATAACCCCATCTACTGCTGCAGCGGCTGCCCTCTTGGCCTCTCTGCTCTCCTGGTTGGCCCTGTCCTTCTGCTTCTTCTTACTGGTACTAGAGGACAAGTCTGAGCTGTTGTCCCTGCCGCTGCCGCCTCTATGCTGAGCCCCACCGCGACGGCCCACTGTCTCGTTACCAGCCACACCGCTACCACTGCTGCTGGCCATCTTTGGGCACTTGGCACTAACAGGCCGCCCGTCGCTGGAATCACTACCGCTGCTGGGGTCTGGATCTGAGGTGTGCCTCTTCCTGCCTGGCCCAGCTATCTTGGCGATGATACTGGCCTGAACTCTCCCAGAACAGAATCAGGAAGGCTGATGAGGGATGGGGACCTGAGGCAGAGGGCAGAGAGAAATAGTCAAGTGGAGAAATTAATAGTAATGTCCATATGTGTCTGACATCAATATGTGCTGTGTGCAAGGTTAAACAGAGTGTGGAGAAACATCTGATGATAATCTGTCTTTATTATGACTGACACACACACACACACACACACACACACACACACAAGGAGGGAGAGTGGTTCAACTAATTAGAAGCAGGTTTAAGATAACAACAACAACAACACTTAATGCGTCATGGACTTTATGTTTTGCAAAGGGAAGTATATGGCAGCCCATAACGTTAGCCGAACTACACCGACGTTGAGCCTTGCCTCGTTTCCTTAGCTTAGCACCAAGTTGTTAGCTTGGACAGTCAAATGACAAACAAAGGACAACAGCTACATCAGCCATCTTATTCGGTGTTCAGTACAGCACATTTACTAAAACATGGGTGATACTCATTAAGCTGGCTAGCAGGCTTAACAATGCAGCTTCCCGTACCGGGAGGTGTTAGCACTGGTTAAGTTAGCCGGCCGACTGCAGAGGTTCGCTTATTTTAAGGCACATATGTTTTGGACTGTCATGTGCCTCTCGATGAGACATATGCGTTATATTTACCATTGGTGTTAGGGTATCGTTATTTTGCTAGAGATACTGTTTTGCTAACCTCATTTATCGGAATCAGCAAATTATCTTTAATCAATAGCATTGATAACGTTATATTACCTGAATGGACCCGGTCCACACAAAGGAGCGTGGGATAATACAATTCATAGGCTGCACATTGAGGTTTAAATATGTGTTGTATCCACAATAGCTGTCGTGGCTTTACTGGACAGAAATAAGAGACCGCATTACTAAAACATAATGTCTAAAGTAATGTTGAAGCTCGTTTATCAGTACGATCACTACGCCTAATCTCCAACCTGTGTCCAACAGAGCGCAGGACAGGTCATACAATCAAACGCTCCTACAGTCTTCGAGGAGCTAATGTCATTAGCCACATAAAGCTAACGCTAGCTGGTAGAAAAGGGTTGATATGGCTACCTCTTTTACACACCCAACACAACATGACATCCCGTGAGATCTGATGCCCGGCTGTGAACAGATACACAGTTAACACTGACATTAAAAGGGGAGACTTACGGGGCTTCAATTTGGCGAGAAATGAATTCCGTAGCTGCTAAGCTCCTTCACGGCCGCGGGCCGCTTCGCTCCTGCCCGCACTCGAAACCCCGCAGTCCACGGTGTTTCTGGAATATTCTTTCCTTTATCCGGGACCCATTTCTGGTAAATTTAGACTATTTATTTCAGAGATTCAAACAAAAGACTACAACTGAAACGCTCCTCGGTCCTTTTCTATCATTCAGCTACTGCGGGGTGAGTCCTACTTTGTTTGTAACAAATTACACTGCCGCCCGGCCATACGTGATGTGATATGAGTGCGCGCATCGGCCTGACTGCCACTTCCTGGCTAGCGCGTTCACGTGATCTGTAGCCCTTCCTTTACCCCCTCTCTTCTTTCGCTCTCAGTGCTTTGGGTGCAAACATTTTACAGTACACCTTATAATTTTTTGTTGTTGCGTATTTATTTACCAGTAGGGATTGTCAACAGATGATGAAGGGAAACTGAGGCTGGGGCAGTATGCAGCACAAAAAACATCAGAGGGCCTTTAAGGTCCAGAGTGTAGGATTAGGTGGGATATAGTGATAGAAATGAAACACAATATAATAAGCATGTTTTCTTTGGTGTAAAATTACCTGAAAGTAAAAATCTCTTGTTTTTGTTACCTTAGAATGAGCCGTTTATATCTACATAGGGAGCAGGTCCTTGTCCACATAGACTGTCATGTTGTACCGCCATGTTTCTACAATCGCCCAGAACGCACAAACAAAACACAGACTCTAGATAGGGCTATTCACAATTTTGCATTTTTGCGTGTTTTGCTCTTTTTTTTGTGTCGGCCACCATAGATAGAAGCCCCTTCGCTACTGAAGTGTGGGCAAAATGTCAAACATTTTTAAAAGTGAAACTGCATTATTCAGTGTTGTAACAGGTTTTAATCACTTGGTCCATTTGTTGTGAAGAGGAAGAGACCTCTGTGGATAATTCAGCTCTCAGTAAAAACCTCCTGAATGTCTGGATTTTAAATTATCAGAGAAAAAATGGTCAGCATACATTAGCAGGTGCTGGGCTAGCGGCTTGTCTGCAACATGCCAAAAAGCCTGGGAGGAACACTGATGAAACTGCTTTCATCAGTGTTTTTGCCGGTTTAAGTCACCGATCCATTTGTTTATGAGGGGAAGAGACCTCTGCTGAAAATTAAGCTCCTGGTAAAACCTCCTGAACAATGAACACTGCAGGAATTTTAACGGGGAGAAATTTCACCTGGTTGCAATCTGCAGTCTTCACCACTAGATGCCACTAAATCCCCCAAATCTTAGACACCGTTCCTTTAAAGTGGCTTTTGCATTTTACCTTACCCTGCGGCCCCATCCTGTTTAGTTGGACAAAATCAGATTTCATCTCAGTTATTATGGATGATATACCGCATATGTAGCGTATATGTCAATACATTTCTTATCACAAACTAACAAACACACAGCAAACCTGCTGCAGGATTGTATCCAAGTGTAGGGATACTGGTCTGTTTCTGATCAGAATGGACTCTGGGACTTCTGCCACAGCTGAAGACCACCCCACACCCCCCAGTCAACATTCAATGGTGCTCATGTGTCAACTCTTTATATAGGAACACTGATATATTTTTTTAACCAAAGGAGGGGGCTGTTAGGGGCCATAGACATAATACATCAAGACCCCTACTATTTTTAGACAGGGTCCTTGTCCCACATGACACCCAGGGGCTTTATGTCATCCTCTAAGTCTGCACTAAAATGATGCTGACAGTGATGATGCAAACCTGTGCAACTCCTGTGGGAGAGTATGACTGCACACAATGAGCATCTGCATAAATAGTCACAACAGTTACGTCTGATTTAATGAAAATAAAAAATAAAAAAATCAAACATTTTGCTATATATTAGTTCATTTTTTATACTTTGTATCAAAAGCACCCAATTGCACACATTGTTTACTTTGTATAGCACTGTTCATTTATGTTAACTTTATCCCTGGCCTCATTTGGGTTTATAGGAGAGCGGGGTTATTAGCCTGTTGGGAAGTAGAACCACCCCTTGTTTCGGCAAACATAGAAAAAAATGGTCACTTGACCACAAATTTTGAAGAGTCATCCATTTTACTCAACCGATGATGGAGTGAGACCCATGAAATGTGCCGTTAGCTAATTTAAGTTAAAACAAAACAAAAAAAAAAAAAAAAAACTGTGGTAGGGGTACAGAACACCAAGTCCACATGTCAGGTGACAAGGCATGTTAGGATGACTCTAACATGTATATGTATAGATAATAACTAGGAGAAGTAAAAAGAACATGGTATAGGATTAACCTATAACCTGGCTCAACATATCCTAACCCTTGCAGGGGCGTAGCACCAAATGTTTGGCCCTATGCATAAGCAGTCTCTGTGGGCCCCCTGCCCTTTCTCTCTTGATCAGGTCTCTCTCACTCACTTTTGATTTTTTTTCACAAAGTCAGTTTTCTTTCTTTACCTGTTCTTTCTTTCTTTTTTGAAAACCTGATCTCCCTGTCTTGGGGAAAGACATGACAGTGTACATTGGTGCTCCAGCAGCATAAGCAGTCATTTACTTGACTTTGGCTGCATTTAGAGAGAAATCCTAGTGCAGGGGCAGACAAAGCTATTTTGTGCCTTTAATGGATGAGAGGGGCCTCAGAGAGCTTCCACTATTTTTTATGCAAAATTCAGTCTTTAAACCAATTTATTCCGCTAATGTTTAATTTAGTTGTGGCACTAATGTCTTCTCATGTGGCCCCCTCCCATTGGGTCCCTGGGTAATCAGTCCCACTTTTCACCTCACTACAAAGTCTCTGTTCCCTAGGCTCAATTTACCTTGCCTGGTAAGACCATACTAATGATATGAGGTCAAGATTCTGCTTCGCTCTATCAGTCTGGCCTGCTGCTGCTCCAAATCAAAATCCCACTGGGGCCAATCACACCATAGATGACAACATAAGCTGTCAATCAGGGACTGCGCTGTAGTTGATTACGTACAATGCAAGCTGCAGCTTGCAGACCAGTAATGGTGGCTCCCACTCCATTGTAGAGTAAAGTGAAGCAACAAGTGAAGTTGCTGCAGAAATAGAGTCAATAAAAACAATTAATCAAGAACAACAGTATGCACTTGAAGAGTTTCTCTGAGGAAAAGGCGTTTCTTGCCTTTCTTCTGACTGGATTTGGCAAAAGCTTGATTTATCAACTAGCTCCGTTGGTAATGATGATGTTCCTCTGTGTTTTGTTACGCTAATTGGCTGAAGGAGTTTGTCTGTCAAGGTGAGTACTCCTGCCCACTTTTAGTGTTTGGGGCAGCTGCAGACTGATAGAGGGAGTGAAACTAAATGCTAATCTCTGAACCATTCTAGGCTCAAATGTACCCCTAATCAGAAGCAAGTTGAGCCAAGAGGCTACATTTGTTTGGAAAGTCATAATTTGATAATAGTTTAAGATTCAATTTGATTATTTCCAGGGATGCATCATGTCCTGAAATATATGTACATATCTGATCTGGAGATATTACTGTCATGCCCTCACTCTAACAGTGACTAATTTAACAAGAAACTGTAATTGTATAGCCAAAAAAACATGCATAAGCCAGTAATACAAGTAAAATGTCTCTGATCTCCCTTAATTCTGACATAGCTCTTTTACTTTTGCTTTCTCTCTGAATTTGCAATTCACCTCTGTCAGCTCTTAGGGCAGGTCTTGGCCCCTGCTGTTACTTCCTGTCATCTTGGCACTATACTGTTAATACTGCCATTCACAGACACTGCTGTAAAGTTTGGGTACAAGACAGCTGTAAAGTCTGTAATGACATAGACTTAATCAAAGGGCACAACAAGGACTCATGCAAGCACTTAGCATCCTTGCTGAGCACGCTCATTCACACCACAAGACAGCCAGTTTTGAAAATGGGACAATATCAAGCACTGACACTGTAATCTGATTTCTAACCAACTCCCAATAAAGATGCTCAAAATAGCTACTCGACACAGACATGTTAAGTTATCCAACCTTTATTCACAAAACTGTACATGATTAAACTTTACACAAGATTCTTTTGGTATTTTTTGCTTTGGCAATTAGTTATCAAATTCAAGTGGCAGCCAGTTGGTGGGTGATCTGAGGGAATTTTGTGTACAAAGTTAGTTTTTTTTTTTTTTTTGGTTTGTCATGTTTCCTAAAACATAAATTGTCACGCAAATAGTACATGAGTAAATGTCCAAGACACTGGAATACTATAAGGCACAATTAAACACTACACACTGTAGAGTATATGTCACCACAGTGAGGCACCCATTATTGTAACTCTTAAATATTCCATCAACAGTACATTTGATACAAACATTCACAATCTGCGCATCACAAGTTTGGCATTCACAAACATGAATTCTGTTGATGACTAAAAGGAACAGTTTGACATTCTGGGAATTACACTTATTTGCTTTCTTGGAGAGAGTTACAACATCAATACCACTGTTATCTGTTCATTATAGTAGAGTTAGCTTAACTTAGCATAAAGACTGGAAACGGGGAAACAGCTAGCCTGATGTAAAATGTAAAAAATGTTGCCTTCAATAATTAACCTGTTGTATCTTGTGTAAAGCTGGTAAGTTGTGGTTTTACACAGAGTTATGCGACTAGCTGGAGTCTCCACTGGTTGCCTGGCAACTTCACAATGGCAAAAATACTCCAGTAAGTCAGAGATATAATGTATTAATTGTTGACCTTTCAAGTTGCAGGGAGGAGAATTTATTTAGCCTTATAGCAGCCAGGGTAGCTGTTTCTTTAACTAAGGTAACAGACTGCTGGCTGTGGCATCGTAAGTCCTACAGTGTGGTATCAATTGTCTGGGCAAGAAAGCAAATAAAACTGTTTCTCAAACTGTCCTTTAAGTTTGTCCTGAGTGTGGTGCCAGAGGGAATGCCATTTTGTTACCTAAATAAAGAGGGTTTATCCTCTGTACAGTGAATGTGTCAGGCTCAGCTAGACCATAATATCCTCTTGTCTCTTCAATTCTATCTGACAGTATTTCACTCTGGACCAAAGTTCACCCACACAGACCTATAGACCGACTGATAATAGCATCACTAGAGCTGTGCCGTAGGTTTACACTGTTAGCTGCCACTGCTCTTATTATTACATTGTAGTCTTAGTGTACAGCCATCCTCCTACTCCAGGCAGAGGTGGTTTTGGGCTGGTTTCATCTGTTGGCTTAGCAGAGTCAAGCACTTCAATTTATGTCCACTTAACAATGGTCATATCTTTTGTTTCCCTGTTATTAATATAAAGGCAGA